TATAAAATCTCGAATAATTTATTTTGATATTATAGCAAGAAAACAAATTGTAAATAGGATTTAAATTGCTTTTCATACATTTAACCAGTTGCGGGTTGACACATCTGGACTAACGTTTAGTCTATGAACACTTATATTACACAATACACATAATTTTCCCTACAGAGCTAGCTACAGCTGGCTAGACTTGCTTTTGTATACGTTTCTAGATTATTATTTTTTTCATAAAATAAATATATTCCACAGTCATGGTGCAGGACTATGACACATGGAAGTTTAGTTGGTGAAACAATATCAAGTTACTCAACGTAACTAATCATTGAAACACTCAACTGCACTAGAAATGTTTTATTTATATTTATTATTCCACATATTATAGCACAACATACACCTATTTACACAATGATATAACGATACATATGCAATGGTACATATGAAATCTCTTGATTCATCAACAGAGGCAATGATTAAGTAAGAAATGTCAGTTATGAGGCAAAGCTAATACGTAACCAGATAAGGTATGACGACATATGTGTTGGCATTACCTGTTGAAAGTGTTATTGCTTTTGTTTTGATAATGATTCTTCATTTCTCTCTGGATCTGCAAATTGAGCATAGCATTTAGCGAATGGTACTTAAAAGTACTAGCATTGACTCTCACACGCACTGTTGATAGGCACATTACCAATCTCGAGAGGCGACTTACCGAAGCTTATTACATCAGTCTTTAATCTTCACATGAATGTAGGTATTTTGGTGTGAAATGAACACTTCATGTATTAGAATTCTGCTGGCTAATGTTTCTTTCAGAACAAATCCTTGAGGCAGAAAATAAGGCCACGTCGGACCTCTTCAAACAACGTATTAAGATGTCTTGGTTATTCAAACGACCATAATGGTTAGTTTCCAACAGAAGAACCTGTACATACTTCGAAATAGAAGCAACCGATATTTGCCAGAGGAAATAGTTCGTATATTGCCGCAATAGACTTTGCTCGTTGCTATGCCTGCATGTGTAGTTAATGTAGATTCTACAAATAAAGAAAATGTAATGATAGCCACAGTGACAGAAATAGTTAATAAAGTTTACATAGTTAGTGAATTTCATTATCCACTCCGACACTTACATATTGGTAGACTTTGCTTACCAGTTAGACTGACTATTTAGACTTGTAGGCGGACTGTCGCAGATTAGTGCAATTTACTAATTAGTAAGTAGAGCTTACTTTCAATCTTTCAAAGAATCTTTTTCTCATTATTTACAAACTGCCATAACATATTTACGAAGCTTGTAGTAAGTCTATCCAATTCATCCCACATGTGCTCTATCGGGTTCAAATCCGGTGATCTGGAGGGCCAGGGGTGAACATCAACGTTGTTGTTGTGTAGGCAGGTTCTTGTGATCCGTGATGTATGCAGTCAAGCGTTGTCCTGCTGGAATACACCGTTGCCGTTGGCTGCAATCGGGAGGACGTGTCGTGGTTACTCTTGGTCGTCCCGACCTTGGCCGATCACGTGTTGACCCATGCTGTTGAAACCGAACCCATAGCCTTGTGATGGTGCTGGGCGCTACATTGAAAACCCTGGCTACAGCTGATCGGGATTCCCCTGTTCGTAAGAGGCCTATGACGTTGTTTCTTTGCACTTCTGTTAAATGTTGTTGAACTGTCACTGTTCGATTGACGCAGATGCTAGGCAATCAAACACCCTGCCCTTTAATACCGTTCCAAGTGCAGCGCGTGCAGCTCCATGGCCCTTTTGTTACTGCACTGGGTGCGTTTTTCCGAATCGTACGTGTTTCCCGACTAATGGTTTGCATGTCCTTGTTGTGATCATTTTGATCCGGAAAATTTGTCACTGACACTATAACACATTAAACCTCTTCGTTTTGCCCCTCTTGGTCCGCTAATTTTGCTTTTATGGCCAAAAATATCCGTATTGTGTTTTTTACACAATACTAGGAAAAGGCAATGGACAAGTAATTAGAATAAATAAATATTGTGTTACCCTGGCAAAATTAACAAACCTCCTTTCTTCATTGAGAACATGAGGCGGTGGGTAGCCTAGTGGTTAAAGCGTTCGCTTGTCACGCCGAAGACTCGGGTTCAGTTCGAAGTGTGAAGCTCTTTTCTGGTATCCCCCGCCGTGATATTGATGGAATATTGCTAAAAGCGGCGTAAAACCATTGGTCGCCCCAGTACATTAGCAACAATATACGTAGTAGTGGTATTAGTAGCAGCAGTAGTAGCAGTGGTTGTAGTAGTAGAGCTAGATATAGCAGTACATGTTAAACAATCATAACTACACCAACTTCAAAGGTTACACCAAATGCAGTGAAAATGTTAAATATATAAATTTTGATTGTTTGTTTGTTGTTTAACGCCGCGTTCAGCAATATGCCAGCTATATGACAAACACCTACCTGCATGATCATGACGCCAAACAGTTGTTTGAAACGGTTAATTCAACGTTAAATATCCTTGTCCTTTATCTGGTATAGTTGCATATTCCTGCAACAACCAGGTGCAAAGAACTAAATGTGACGCTCCTGCTGAAAATGTCAAATGTTACGGGAAGAATTATCTCCCTTAGAAATCTCCATAACTATATTACTAGTGCTTCAATCGCTAATGATCGTCGCTCATGTTCATTGAACGTATGATGAGAGTTATTCGTCGTTTTCATTAATTTCTTAATCACGGACGACATCATGAGGACGATTGCATCAAGGAACACAAAAAACCATCATGATGGCAAGTGGCCGATGTTGTATCCAACTAGTCCCCTGCAACCTATGCTTGTCGTACTGGGCGTATTGATTGATCGTTTTAATAGACTTGGTGAGAACTGCTACCACTGCTACAACTATTGCTACTACTATTACTTATACTGGTACTACTACTCCTACTATTACTACCACAACTACTACTACTACTACTCCCAGGACAATCGGTTCCGAGTCCCGTGTGTCTACCGCCACCACGGCAATGTTTCTCTCACTTATGAAAGTACATGTATACAGTTTTATAAATGATAGTGAATGCATTTAAAGAAGTGCGTACTACATTCTGATTGGACAATACGAGTATAAGCAATGGATATGATACAAGTTCATTTGAATTGACATGAATAAATTGACTTTACCTGATTGACATTTATGCTTATCTATCTTATAATGAAGTTGAGACTTACCATACAATACAGGTGGCATGTCGTTTTGGGCGTCAATCAGCAATCCCTAATTACAAATGACGGACATCGTCACAAAGGACGGACAGGCCAAGCTGTTTTACTGAATTATCTAGTAGTACTGTTAGTGTGACGTCAGTGCGCCAACTGTGCTGGACTTCTTTAATGATTTAATATCTTACTTCATATTTCTGTATGCTTATAAATTATGAAAATTTGTATGCACATTGTAAATATATATACATAGAAAGGTAGCTGTATGACAGTAACTCCAAAAGCGAAACGTATAAAAAAACGTCTGCCAGTTCCAGATGAGGCATACACCATGTCGACCAATTGGACATGATTGACCTGGTAAGACGGCAACACGACTGGCAAGAGATCTACATGTCATCCACACTACGATTAACCATCTTATTGCACGCATAATGCACAGATAATAAGTGCGCAGGATCTCCCAAGAAGTGGATGTCCGCGTGTAACGTCCTTACGTCAAGACAGTGTTATCGTCCCTTCTCACTTGTGCCAGCGCCACCTACCAACATCAACTACTGCCAGGTAGACAGTTAATTGGAACCAACAACAGGCCTGTGGAAACAAACATTGCATCGGTTGTCAGCGGCAAATCTCAGGTGCCGACGTCCGTACTTTCGGGCGTGTCTTTTGGAATTGAGTATAGATTGTCGATAATGCATTCAAGATATCTTTTCCAAGAATATCGCTAAGGGCGTAAAGAGTGTGATATGTGCCACATGTTGCTTCAAACTGACAGACTGTAATAAAAATACTACTTGACCGAACTCATTCAGGTTCATGTTGCTTTTATTGAATGCGATTTCTATGAACACCGATCCAGTAGATCAAGGGTATGCTGACATGGGAATTGATCATGTTTATGTATGATTTAGAATATTTTCCCTATGTATGTACACTATATATTGATCAACGTTAACACGTATATATATTAAAGCAAGGAATGGTTTGAATAAATTTTAACACTGCACAATGCTGTTCTTTCAACCATACTGCAACGTCCTGGTTCTTAGCGCCAACTGTTCGTTTAAGCGTAAACACAGTGAATGCAGTTCTACGAACCACGGCTACGACTGCATTTATTGAATATCTGCCAGTGAGCAACAGTGAGAAATCCTAACAGTGTTCTTAGAATCTCACACAAGTAGTTAAATCTCCATTAATGGTATCCTACTTCTTTCAAAGCTTCGTCTATAGAATGATGATGAAAGCAGAACGTTAACTGTGCTTGTGAATTCATTCAAATTATGAAATGGGATCATTATGCATTGGAAATGCCTTCAATCAGTACGGGGCTCGCAGGTGTTGACAACTTACGCATAGCTGGGGCGTGTTTATGGACAACTAGGTGTACGGAATCGCCGACTCAAAATGCTCACAAATGTTTAACTAACATTAATTTTTGAGAAATATCTTGTTTTCGACCATAAAGACTGTTTACTAATTTATCGATGAACAATATTTCAACATAGACATCATAGGGGTATCCCCTGAAAGAAACATTTATGCTATTAAATTATCATAACTATTATATATTTTAATATCGATAAGATATTTGTATATTTTACACAATGAAACAAGCTTTTGGCTTAACATATACATGCTTATTGTATTGTTGTATCAGAAAATATGTATCAGCCAGCGACCATCAACACTAAAAATTGACATGTGCACAAGCGTCGCTGCAAGATCACCGATAATGGCTGGCAAACTCCGTAGCTTATATTTTGATACGTAAGTCAAACATTGAACAGCAAGGAATAACACGAAAACGTTTGCTTATTTACGTATTACATTTTATTTCATGTGCATAGTTAGCGTACCGCTATGTTATCATAGCCGACGCTGATCAGAAGCATATGGAAAGAAAAAACATGTCTTGTAGCATTTCAGGTGCACTTGGCCATGTAATGACTGGTCTGCCAACACAAACCAGTGCAGTTGTGGACACCCAGTGAACACTCTAGTCGCCCTGGAAACAAAAGGTTAGGAGTTCAGTTATGCAACATCCAACTTTTTTCCTATGGTGTTTCTGCAGCAGAACCTCAGTATCCAAAGCTTCAATCAGTGGTTTGTCTTGTTCGATGATTCTTTACGGGATTATTGTGTGCGGGGTAAAACATCAAGCAGAAGACGCTAATTCTAAAATCCGTTTCAGATTACTTTTATGAAAGCCTACATATCAAAAAAGATAATTACGAAAATATTATTCTTAAATCCGAATCTCTGAAATCCCGATTACAAACAAGATCTGTTCGTGGCAGCAGAATATGGCACCTACCAAGATCAGTTTGAAGTGTCGAGATGACGGAGACACTGGTGACAAACAGTGGCAGTGACGACACCTCGGCTCTATTGACGCCGTCGTCGTTCACCCGGATCAACCTGGAATACAGGACAAGGTGAACAGGAATCTTTCGGATCATCAACCAGCACGTAGTTAACGTATTCATGCACTTCTTTAACGAAGGGGGACAAAATATTAACGTATAATTGCCGTTGGCTGCACTTAGAGAAAGACAATACGTTCATATCAAATATGGGAATGTGAACTTGAAATAGTTGCGTCAGTAATGTATTAGTAGCGGGTCGGCGCTCTGTTATTCCTTAATATAGAAAACTATTCCGAAAGGTAGCCTCAGGGAGGGAATATTTAGGACAATGACCTTGTGATCATCGGAATATATATAGTCAATTTGAACTATTGTGTCCTCGGGTTCGGTGGACATGCTGGTTGCCCTGAAAAAATGTAGAGTCTGGTATCCGCGTATGATACACTGCTAAGAGGTAGCAAAGGTCAATGTCACTTTTTGTTCCCGTTCCACTTCCGTGAGCTGCCCCATTCTGCAGTGAAAACGATTTGCGTGACAGTTTAGAAGGGCACCCATATATCGGTGTATACCCATATATCTCAACGGACATTCAATTGGAACCTGAGACAATACTCTACTGAGAATGTATGGAGCTTTTTATAAGTCGTTCTAGAAGCTGACCTCCTTTGCATATTCATCGGATCACGACACCAAATGTATCGCATATGTTCATCTATTGCATCGATAACACTATTCATGATACGATATCATTCCAAATACCCCCTAAATGAAATTAAACGAGTGACTGAATATGAGTTTAAGCCACTTTCAGAAAGAAACCGAGCATCATTACGGCGAGGACACCAGAAATGGGCGAACATGTATTGTACCCAACTGGGAAATCGAACCAGGGCCTTTGCCGTGACGAGTGAACGCTTTAACCTCTAAGCTACCCCATCGCCCCTGTATGTAAATGACGATTACATGTGCTGTATATCAAGTTATCAGATGATCACTTCCATCTATGAGGATGACGTACTTTGAGTTGATATCGACGTAGAAGTAGTAGCTGTTCATTTGTCCGTAGAGGTCACTGGCATTGTCGACCAGGATGGTAACGCCAGTGCCGTCAGTGTCACCACTCATCAAACTGCCATTAGCGAACCACATCAATCTCTCCACTGTAAAATGAACACGCAAAACATGAAGAGACTCATATCCTAATAGTTCAAGATTTAAAGATGTCGACATGATCAGATTGATGAGGACAAATAGTCTAAAGTCAGATATCTCTTGTTGATAGTATATTTACGAATACCAAATATTCTATTCAAAATATCTAAATAGTCTAAAGTCAAAGATCATAGGATAAATTGTCTAAAATCTGATATCACTTGTTGGTAGGAGCATAATTACGAAAACACAAATATTCTAAGTAAGGATAAGATTTATGGATGAACAACTTCTTTATTACAATTAAGCGCGACGTTTCGGTGTAGGTTCTAACACCGTTGTCAAGCAAACGATGTACAAAGTATGGTTGGCAAGTATATATACAGGTAGGAGGCAATGTTGATACAGTGGAGTAGATATCAGATGTAGTTATACTGGAGTGGAGAAGCCTGTTACGTACTCGAAAGGGTAGTAAAGACCATTATCGGTGAAGTCAGTAACATAAGCAAAGGGTGAAGCCAGTAATATAAACAGCACGATTATGGCTGATTGGGGTATTTGATGAGTTGATGGTACGTCGGGGGTATGTAATAGCCTTGGTCACGATTGATCGATGGTTGGAGTCCTTTGATGTTGATGGATTCTTGTAGTTTTCTGATTTTGAAGTCTTTGAGGTTGGTGGTGAGGGCTTTGACTTTATCCAACTGAATGCTGAGGCTTGGGTTGTCACGGTTGTGGTCTGATAGAGCTGATTTGGAGTCATCTTTTGAGACTGAGCTTTGAGCTGTTGTTTACATTACTTCACCCTTAAGTTTGCTTATGTTACTGACTTCGCCGATAATTGTTGTTACTTCCCTTTTGTGAAAATAACAGGCTTAATTGTAATAAAGAAGTTGTTCATCCATAAATCTTATCCTTACTTAGTACTCCAACTTCTAAATGCCTATCAAAGAAAACAGCTAAGCTTAAATTTCTGGGCCGCGTCCCAATCAAACCCTCTCATCCAAAACTTAATAAACCAAAACATCAGCCCCAAAAACCAAGCTCTAGCTCGTAAACACCCCTTACTTACCCCAATATCCCAAAGAATAACAAACTACCTAAATGAACACCAAATTAAAAATCTTAAACAAAACTGCAAACAATCAAATATCTTCACCCCTAAACTTAAAATACCCAAAATAGACATAACACTAGCTAGCCAAATAAATAAACAACTCGACCCAAACATAGCTAAAACTACCACACTAACATACATACACGAAAATTGGCCAAATTGGTGTCACATTTACACGGACGGATCCTCAGATCCGACCTCCAAACACACAGGTTTCGGAGTCCATACCACACAACCAACTAAAACCACACAATCCTTCCGACTCCCAAACAACCAATCAATATTCACGGCAGAACTAATGGGCATGGCCTCAGCCCTCCATAATCAAGAATCCAAAAACCCCAAAAAAATCCTAATACTTACCGACGCCCTAAGTGGACTGCAAGCCCTCCAAAACAAAAATACCCAAAACCGACCTAAATTAATAAATCAAATACTTAAAAGCTCCAACGACCTAACTAAGGCAGGCAAACACATAACCTTCTTGTGGATACCCGCCCACGTAGGAATATACGGTAATGAAAACGCCGATAAAGCAGCTAAACTATCCCTCAAAATCCCAGAAATAAGCTTAAACTTACCCATCTCAAAATCAGAAATTAAAAGTGTAAACATGCAAAAAATCACAGAAATGGCATAACCTATATTTAAACTCAAATAGCCAAATCAAAAAAGTGCTCAGCAAACCACTAACCAAACCAAAGATTCTGCATCCATCAAAAAAAGTCGACAGAGTAATCACTAAACTCCAAACAGGACACACCAACCTAAATAACCACCTAAAAAAAATTTAAAAAACACACTACAAGTAACTGCCCACACTGCAAACAACTAGAAACCCCAGAACACGCACTTATCCACTGCACACACTGCCTAACACATCGAACCGCATTACAAACCACCCTCAATCTAAACAAGGCTCTCACTCTAGAAGCAATACTAAACCCACAAAATAAACTAGAAAACTTCAAGGCCTTAGGCCTATTCTCAATCAAAACGGAACTAATAAAACGCATCTAAAAACACAATAACCTACCAAATCAAAATCACATAAACAAACAAACATCCACCATACCCAGCTCCCTTAGTTCTCCTCCCCAACCCCATCGGCATCTATTCCAAATCTCAAAATTCCCAAATTCTATATAAGCAACCCCTAAAGCCCCTCTTGGGTTGCACACACCACTTTCGCCCCTTTCGGAAACACATTAAATGGCCTGGCCGGGCCAGTGTGCGAAATACGCATCAGTCGGAAAGCGCACGTTAAATCTCCAAAGTAAGTAAGTAAGTACAAAGAAAACTAATATTCTATTCGAAATATCAAAATGGTCTAAAGCAAAGATATACAAATAGTAAGCTACAAATCAAAGATCTTAAAACATCAAAATACGTGCAGTCACAGATTCCAGGACATCAACGATTTTCAGATATCTACGACTTTGATACATCTTGAATGATATATCTTGAAGTTTGAGGCGGTCCATATGGCCCAGTCGTCTAAGGCACCACAATCCGATGTGCAGAATTGCGTCACTTAGCCGTACCAGAAAGGTACTGTCATGGGTTCGAATCCTAGATTCGCCCTGTTCGTCAGCACCATACCCGTGCTTTTATCGAACTATAGTAAATTAAACGTCAAAGACATGCATCACTCCTCCAACATCAAGCTGAGACGCCGTGATATAAGACTGTACCGGTTCAAAGCTGCGTTAAGCCAAACTCCATCACTCACATATAGGGTGTCACGATAAATCGAAATATCGATATATTGCTATCGGTAAAAAATTAAATCAATTAATTGATTTTAAAAATCAGTTTCCGATCAATAGTTTAGATTTCAGTTTGGGATATCGATGGTTTCGATTGTATTTACCATATCAATAAAATACATGTAATGCTGTTCAAATTTGTTTTTCTTTTGATCATGCGTGGCAGTAATTTACACATGGTAATGTGGAAGTTTCCTTTTCTTAAATTATTAGTGTAAAGAAAAAAACAAATCAGTCATATCTCAAACTTTACTTTTTATTTGTTGTTATGGTTATCACATTCAAAGGAAACATCGGTTCCAAGGTTTAATTCAACTCTAAAATCCATCTAAAATGATACAGTGAAAACTATCGCTATCTATCGCAATAGTTGTTTGCAATATCAATAGTTATCGCAATAGTGATATCCAGACCAATAGTCACCCCTACTCACACATATATTAGACTAAAATGTATTTTACCTTCAGTGTTGAGACTGAGCTGCTTGACAGGATATTCTTCCTCGAGGACAACTGTTCTTGAAGTATCTCCATATTTGAGCTGCATTATTTTGTTCCCCTCAGCCCAATACATCACGCTGGAATAAAACGCAACATTTTAGACTGCTTTATCATTCGCGTAAACAGAAACTAATCTCCTTATCCTGAACCTAATGTATAAAACGTGTACGTCATTGGCGCATGAGATGAATGAGATCATAAGCTCCCAAAACTGTCTGAGCAAAAGTCAAGAAGCTGTAACTATATGACATCAAAATTATCCTACAATGTGGCTGCAATGACGTCGTGATTACAATATACGTGCCAACATTCATCCCCCAACACACACGTTTATTAATTGCTATTCTAACTCCTCAAACAAAATCATCATTCCTTATCTTTGACTGGCCTTACGGAACCATTATAATTTCATCTCGATATAAACTTATTTATTTCCATAAAGTGGAGGGATTGGCAAACAAGCAAATTTTGCTTATCTGATTGCCTCTCCTAAACATGATACATATACAAATAGCATACATTGTATAAATGGCAATACATATAAGTAAGTATTGTTCTGTAAGTGTTAAATTACGGGATTATCTTCCATAACTACAGTTACATTATTATTTACATTCAGCACAACAACATCGCAGTATCATATAGCAAAGCCAACATCTCAGACAAAATCTCTAAATCGGCAAGAAGATAGAATAAAACTGTGCACCGATTTCAAAATTTCAAGATTTGTTACTGTCGTTAGATTTGATTTAAACAGTATTTTAATTCCATTAATGTTCAGATTTTACATTACATAGCATTACAAAATGGAAAAAGGATTAGCAAACAGGCCAAAAAGGCCTATATTAATGCTTCTACTAATATTGTACATTATACATGTAGATTGTAATGAAGTCTTTAGAGCAGACATTAATGAGTGACACAACATGAAATAAAATGGAAAGCAAGATACCAAATGCATTTTATATTCTTAAGTTGACACATAACTTACGTAAAGAGGTTTGTTTCAATGATGTAACAATTCTAAACTTGGCATAGCGTGGACAAGATAGAAAAAGTGGAAAGCATCTTCTCTATTTAGGCCACATGGACAGATGGGATTTGTCAATCAGAAATCTGTCAAATAAATGTGATTTTAAATCACTACAACCTAGCCTAAGTCTAGATAGAATCACATGACATTGCCGCTGGCCAAAACTAGCAAAAGATGTAAAATTTGAAGTAAGCTTAGTTTCTCTAGAAATTAATTGCTTAAACCGAGATAAGATTAGATTTGAATTACGATTAAGAATTGAATTTAAATCGTAGCCTTTTACGAAATAATACATGTTTTGCCTTACTGTACTGTTTAAGGGACACGTAAGAAAGAAATGAGGTGCATCTTCCGTATGATAGCCACAACAACATCTTAGGCTGTCGGATATAAATCTGGAAAATTTGTCGGCGTTAAGATAACTGCAGCCAAGCCTGATGAGACGGGAGTGTAAAACCTGACAGAATCTTGATCCATAATTTGTCAAAGTCAATCATTACTATCATTGCTTTTTATAAAACTTGTAAAACTTCCTAAGCTACTGGCATTGGTGTATTCAATAGGTAGTGAGTTCCAAATATTAACTGTATCTGGAATAAATGACTTGGCATAATTATTTGATTTACACTTTGTGGTTTGCAGCTGTGAGCAGTTTCTCAAATTATAATCACTTGCATCCGACACTCTATTTGGAACTAAGGATGAGAGATAGTCCGGTACTAGATTGTTGACCATTTTATACAAAAAAAATAACTTTTGAAATGCCTTCTTTCTTCTAATGACGTTAGATTTGTTTCTGTATAAAGTTTACCGTGACTTGTGCCACGAACAGCCCCACCAATAGTTCTGAGTGCATCTAGATTCAGTTTTTCAAGTAGTAACGCCTGTTCTTTTGTGCAGTTGTCCCATATGTGGCAACAATAATCACATATCGGTAATATGAAAGATTTATACATAGTTTCCAGTGTTTTTTCTATTTAAACGATACTTGAAACTCCTGAGACAGTTAATCATTGGACTGACTTTCTTGACTAGGCTATCAATGTGAGAGTAAGTTCTAGATGTTTATGAGAATGAACTTCCTGAACAGTAGTGTTACTCATTTTCAAAACTGGTTTCACATTTCGAAGAATCTTCCGGGAAAATTGGATAGATACTGTTTTATTAGGGTTGAAATCGACCTGCCAGTTTTCTGCCCAAGAGGATATTCTACTGAGATCGTTATTCAGACAATGTGCTGCTGTATTCGGGTCATTTACCACGACATATGGGGATGTGTCATCGGCAAACAATCTTATATTACTTTCAATATCGTCTATAATGTCATTTATGAAAATTAGAAACAGTAGCGGCTCTAAAACTGACCCTTGTGGAACTCCGGCCGTAACTGGTCGTAAGTCTGAACTATACCCATTGATAACAACCCGTTGGCATCTATATTTTAGGTAGCTTTCAAACCATCTCAATAATTTCCCTTCAATACCATAGGATTTGAGTTTATGGATAATGCCTTGTGCCAGACTTTATCAAAGGCCTTACTAATGTCGTAAAATACTGCTCTGATTTCTTCGCCTTTATGCAATTCTCTAGCAATAAAATTATATAAGTAGGTCAGCTGGTTAGCGGTAGAATCTCCTGGAACGAAACCTGATTGAAGATTTGTAAGCATTGTAATTTCATCTTAAATGTATTACCCGAGATGTGCAAAGGAGTTCGAACGTTTGAAAGTCAAGGATATCGACGAATCATCGAATGTGTATACTAAGTGATAATTTTCTATTTCTGTTTGTTATTAAAACAATCGCGAGTATTATATGAGTCATTTTAATCTGGAGCTTCGTTGAAAGGGATTTGTGTCACCAGAGGTTCCCCAAGTACTCATTAGACATTTACAGTTACACAGTTTCAAAATAATTAGCCTGATTTGCAATCCACAACCAGCTGTAAACCTGACTTCAGTATATAGTGAAACTCACAATTTCTCTTGGTGAAGTACAAGGTCACGTGGTTCATCTAGTCCAGATAGCACTAAAATGACACCCCCGTGGTCAGCGGACACACCAATGAGGCCACCACTATTCACGGTAAAGAAGACAATCCGAGACCTGTCGTCCACAGCCAAACCTGTGATCTCTTGACCTGGTCAATCATGGACAATGTTGTAAAAAGTATCATCCTTAGAAATAATCATACGAGATATTCAAATGTAAATGCTATGTCCTTGATGGTGTATAAATATGACAGGATAACCCTTCTCATTTTTTTCTTTTGAATGTGTTATTGCAAATGACAAAATATGACGTTAATATCCCCACTAACGTGAATATATCGACATATACACAAAAGTGAACTATATAATTTAATGTAACCAGTAACTGATGACTAACTATCAGTAACGATTCTGGAACTGTTAATGTCGACTGCACAACATAACCTCAGTTGAAAAGTGAGATCATGACAGTACCCTGGTATTATGTGTAAGTATAGCTACCTTCAGTGGAAAGTATTAATTTCGACTGACTTCCATCTCGCTTCATTTTCCTGATCGTAGCTGGAGCTAACGTGCTGTAGTAGAAGAAGTCGTCGGTGGCGCTGTAGACGAGTTTGGAGATGCTGCCGGTGGTGATATCTAGGGTCAATGTCTCTGGGGTCAGCGAGATCATGTTGAAAATGGTCAGCGTATTCTGACCACTGGTCACAAGGAGTTGCTGATCAGATTGCTCTGGGGCTAGAATATATATAAACATCATGGCATACGCGTATGGATGTAGTAAGAGGCGACATAAATGGAGGTCGGGTGATCAGGCTCTATGACTTGGCTGAATGTGAATCATAACAAGACGGCGTCTGACATTCATCATGCAATCAACCATTGGTTTGTCTGACCAAGACTCGCTTCTTTGCATAAAACTGAGGTATATCACTGACTGTGGGGACACTCGCCATTCAACCGCTCAAGTCATTGTTATGTTTGCATCTGTCCGGATTAAGTTATAATTCTATAAAAGAAAAGTATCTAATCACGTTTACTGGTTTACAACATCAGGTAACTTAATAGTATGGTCCTTGCATCTCGCTGTCACATCGTGTTTCCACTCGTTTCACTTGACGAATGAACCAAATGAACTGGTATTTGTGATGGGGTGTGCGTGTGTGTGTGTGTGTGTGTGTGTGTGTGTGTGTGTGTGTGTGTGTGTGTGTGTGTGTGTGTGTGTGTGTGTGTGTGTGTGTGTGTGTGTGCGGGGGGTAAGTATTTGTAACAACGCTTCCGAACTCAGCTCAGTCACTCAACCATTAAATGGTTTACCGATATTGCGGAATATAAATCCATTTTGCAGATGGAGTAACATGAACTTCGTGATCAGTTTTCACCAGAAAAGAGATAACTATGCCAAAACAAGCATATACGTTTTATGTCTGGATATATCAAATAGCATTATCTTTTACATTTTGTCTTAAGAAAATTTATAGCTCGAAATGTTTTGATCTATATGTGGTGCGCAACTACCATGTACAGATTTCGAAAGTCGAACACATTTTGCCGATTTTGTATAGCTTCTTTCTCCTGATTGATCAATAATTCGGTTTGATTGTCAGGTGGCGGTAGGTAATAACACTTCAATTAAAATGTCAGGTTCCTAGAGTAAGAATGTTGGGCAAAATAGTATTCTATGAGACTAATAGCTGCATAATGAATTGCTTACCACTGCACATGCTTTGTTCTGAAATCCCGACCTCAAGGCTCGTACGGAAGCCAGGACAAGCTTTACACTCAGACTGTCCTCTCACGTCCTGATAGAAACCCAGGGGACACGACTCGCAGCGACCGTCAGTGAAATAGGTACCAGCTGGACACTTCACTGTGAACAAATGGTCATGTAGCTATCCATATAAACTTCACGTAAGAATGACATCAGTTCGAGATGTTCGAGTTTTCACTGATAAAATTCGAGTCATTTCCAATAATATGACTTCCTTCAAGGATATTTCCAAATGTGAATTGATTTGAATTGCGTTTTAAATCTTTGGACTGTGTAGTCTAGATCTGGGACTTATGTCTGCATTAATTATATATTACCAAAACGACAAGTTGTGACGAGGGCCCTTTTAGCCCAAGGAATCTCCACTATTTATGAAAAGAACAAAATTGTGATAATAATTATCACAGATAACCATATGAATGTGACCACATTTAATAACATATTTTAATCAATCAATGTTATTTCGAATAAGGCCTAAGTCCTAAGGCCAGCTTACAAAGTGAAATAGATATAAATTATAACCTGGACATTATAACTTCATAACATGCTTAACATGTTTATCATAGGCACGAAGAAGATTATGCTGATGCACCTCTAATATAACCAGAACAGTTCGTTAAAGTTAAAAGACAAACAATGCAATATTTCAATAAAGTAGTTTTTATCAATATAAATCATCAAAGTAATATGAAAGGTAAATTTTATATTTTAAAAATTTCATGTTTTCTTCATGGTAATTGATGTTATTGTATACTACAGTCTGAGTATTCTTTATGATTCTTTATTTGGAGAGGTAGCCTTGTGGTTAAGGTGTTCGCTCGTCACATCGAAGACCCGGGTTCGATTCCCAACATGGGTACAATGTGTGATGCCCAATTCTGGTGTCCCCCGCCGTGATATTGATGGAATATTGCTAAAGGCGGCGTAAAATCAAACTCACTCACTCACTCACTTGTTTGGAGAAATCGTGTTTTAGTTTGGATAATATGATTCCACGTCTGGAGACTATTGGAATGTTTGGAAATGGAACCTTTGTTGTCCAAATGCTATAATAATTCATCCTTTGGCGTGATCAGTCGTACTCACAGCAGAAGAAGCTACCAGGGATGCTCCCGATGTTGCACGTGACATTCTGAAACACCAGAAGGAAAGGTTCCGGCACGTTACCAGGAAGACCGATGCTGAAGTTACTGTAGCCAGCGGCTCTGACCTCTGAGTTGGCCATGTCTAGTTTGTTCCAAGCTGCCAGGATGCTTGCCATGGTGTCTGTCACTGCAAGACAAACGACACATATGTATCTACAGTACACCCCAGTTAGCTCGGAAACTCTGCTTCCTGGATAACTACAGTGGTGAACGTGTAACAAAATTGGGTAAGTAAAAACTAATGGTAAATACCCATGATTTCGACGTATTGAGTTTTAAGCCTGGGAATGGGGGGGGGGGGGGGGGGGGGGGGAGGGGGTTCAAGAATTGGCTTTAGATCACCGTGGTGAGCAAATGATTTAACTCGGCTAACAAACCTTCCAAACAATGATTGTAAAGGTTTTGCCACAATATTTCTGGTGATTTGTGGTTGTTATTGTTTCTCTCACGTGTTAAATGTTCCTTGTATCACAAAACAAACTTGTTCTAAAAGTGGGAAACAGATGGAACACACCTGGCACACAGTCCGCTTCCTGTGAGTACATATAGGGGCACACAAGGACGCCATTGTCGACCTTCACCTCAAGGTCACGGTGTGCGGGTGAGTTAGTCTCGTTTGTGTAATGAACATACCCGCCATTGGGGGATAGTATCTCTGCTGTGTACGGCAACACTGTCGATATAAACAACCATGGTCATCAAATGTTTGGCCTACGGACGAATAAAACTGATAAGGTATCTTTATATATATTATAAATATAATTCAGTTATCAACATAACTACACTGAGTTAAGAAACCATTTACATGTATTTCATATGGTAATTTTCAGTTGCCTTAAGGCAACATGAATTATAGTATCTCAATAAATAGCCATTCAAAAAAATAAACATATAAAAACGTGTTTGGTTATTCTACGATTAATATGTTAATTTCTGTGGTATATTTCACAATTTTTATTGATATTTAAAAGGCACCACAGCAACGTAAATGAATATACGTGACTTACGATCACTGTCCTTCTGCAACTGCGTGACATCAAGGACACCGGGGGGTATGTCAATGTACAATGTCAATACCCCGAGTATTTTTCCATTGTTGTCTGAACAGATTCTGATATTTTCATCACAATCTTTAAGGTGACTCTTCCACTTGCACATTCCCTCTCCCACACATGAGAAGCCAGCTGCCACCCAAGCCAGGGAGGAACTCACGGTAGAGTAGGAAACTCCATCTGCATACACCACGTTATACTCCACCTGAACTGTTAGCGGGGCCTCTGGTTCTGATGAAAGAAAGACCATATTTGAAGGTTTTGTTTCTCACCAATGATCGTCCGAGACTAAAATTGTTTTAGTTTGTTTTTCTTTGCAAGCAAATTCGGTCTTTGAACTCAATTCTAGAGTAAAATTTAATTATGAACTTTTTATGTTACAACAATAAAGTTCGTGAATCGGGAACTTTTCCATATCAATGATTTGGAAATCGAAATAAAATAGAATTACAATTTTTCGACAACCGATTCGATACTTATTTTTTCTTTAAATTACGAGAAACAAAAAGTTGTCAATATCGACTTTGATACATATGCAAAAGTACAATTTAAACTTAATAAAGAATGCGAAAAGAATATATATATATTATGTTTTGAAGCGACTGCGTGATATCATAAAAAAGGATAGCATATAGCCTGTTGAGTATTCAAGATAAAAACATAAGTCATAAACAAATCTTTGAGCTTTTAATCGGTTAAAACCAAAACAGATGACAACTGAAAATAGCGCATGACAAAAGGCATCACACGATGATCACATGTTGTACAGAAGTCAACGTCGCCAGTGCCTATTATAAAACATCATAGGAGAAAATCAAATGGTATAATAAAAGATCGATAGTTTGTACCCTCTACATGAGACACATAAGACGTAGTACTGTTAGCTGACCTGACAACACCACTATCATCAACATTCGCTACAGCCGTAATTGAAGGCATGGGCAACGATCCACACTATCGGTTTACGATGACGCATAATTTAGCCGGATAATGTGGACCTGTTGTTCCCAGGAATACCCATTTAGTCTTCCTGACCTGTACATGAGTGGACTACCCGTCCTGGTGTCCAGACACCTTCTGTGCACTTGTACTCCATGTCATCCTGTGATGGCACCAGACCAACAGGACAACCAGTAGTGCAGCTCAGGTTGCCCCCAGTTGACTGGCAGACATCGTTTAAGTTGATTTGACCGAACAAGTCCTCCTCCCGGCAGTCTGGAAATATGGGAATCATGCGTTGTGTTAGTCCTGCACCTGCGGAATGTCTGCATTTAATTACAAAAACATAAACTCCATTTCTCAGACAGGTAGGTCTACCTGGCTGTATTCCACCAAATCAGCAGATATATTTTAGGAGAGACAGTTATTGTGTAATAAAATAGTATATTCAAGTGATGTGTTATACAAATGTACATATTTGTATATTACTATAAAATATCATGATTATTTTAGTCCTTCTGACTGAAAGTGAGCTTATATCGTTGCCTGGTTGTGCGGCGTCCGTCGTAAGCATCTTCTCCTCAAAAACCACTGGATCAATGGAGCAGAAACTGCAGACGTTTGTTTCCACTACTGACAACGCCTGAATGTGTCCAAGAGTCCCCAATGGCATCGGTCATTACTTAGACATTTCTTTTAATTGCAATGCAATTAATTTGGTACATATGAATTTTATTTATTTTTAAATATGACCTTTTTACTGCGACCATATGAAAGTTCTTATGGCCATTACTGTAATCTATCTTCAAATTGTAATGAAATTTGGTATATGAGCAGTTACATGTATTTTGGGGGCTCACAATGTTTTAAAGCATTTCTTTGCATTGTAAACATACGCTCCGTTTGCAAACACTGGACCAATGAAGCTGAAACTGCACATCCTTATGGTGACCAAATCCAACCTGCAATTATTAGAGATACACCCCCAAACCATTACCGAGCCCCCGCCGTATGCAACAGTCGGTTTAATGTTCCTGGGGGTGTAGGCGGTGTTCCGGTGCCTCCAAACTCTCGTTCTTCCATCAGTGACGTGGAGCAGAAAGCGACTTTCGACGGACCTATGGATCCGTCTCCAAGTTCTCAGATTCAAGTTCTGTCGCGCAATACACCACGCTAAACGAGTAAATGTGTGGTGATCTCTCAACAAGGGACGCTTTATGACTCGTCTAGCCCTCAGTCCTGCTGCCCTCAGCCGGTTCCGGACGATTCTGGTGCTGAAACGACGATTAGGGAACCACAGCTGTTTCAGACGAGTACTTGTTAAAAAGGGTTCTCGGGGTATGAGACGAAGATGGTCCCTGTCTTCGCGCTGTTTCGTCACATGAGGTCTTCCGGGTCTGGGATGGTCCTGTACATCACCGGTCTGAGCACGTTTCTCGACTAAGCGGCTTACGACAGTGTGATGATTCCGACCAATGGCATTACAAGGCATTCCTGCATTATGCATGCCTATTATTTGTCATCTTGTGGCGTTTGATGATCCCCTTCGTGCCATGGTCACACAATGTCATGGGATAACTGTTCAAAACCGAGCTTAGGAAAGCAATTTTAACGTTTGGATATACTGCTTTTAGAGATACTCGAGGGTAGCATGCTGTATACCATGTATGGCACATGGACTTTCGTCACGCATGACTGATTACACCATCTCGAGAAAACATAATTCTTCCCGAAATTATATCTTTCATGACTGTCACAAATATTGGAACCAAACAATCATGAAATATATTAGGGTGTGCTTAACTTTTTTTACGTATATGTTAATCGAACCGATCAAATGTCGAAATTGCTATAAATGTTTATTTGTTACTCACCTGGGCATGGCCGTATTTGGCACACGGACTCCAGGGTTGCATTGCCCACACATGGTTTGGTGCCGTCTTGGAGACTGTCACAGTATCGGCTCCTAGTCCGCTGACCATGCCCACATGTCACGGAACACGACCCCCATTCCTCCCACATGCTCCACTCCCCGTCAGCTTTAGCGTAATAAATAGATGTCAAAAGACTTTTCAAACATTGACTATGTTACACTATAGAATGCTGTCCCTTCAAAGTATCGTAATCATGTTTTCTATTATAAATTGACGAGTTCAGGATCATTGCACTTATATAGCGACGTGCATGTGTGTGTGTGTGTGTGTGTGTGTGTGTGTGTGTGTGTGTGTGTGTGTGGTGCACATGTGGTTGTATGTGTGGTGCACGTGTTTTTGTGTGTGGTGTACGTGTGTGGTGTTTTTTAGCATGTCTGTGTGTGTGTGTGTGTTCAATCACAAGACAATATTCGTATGCCGACGTGTCTTCTAAACTACGTTTACATTGCATCGGCTATGTGAAAGCAATTTTATGTTTCTTACGTAAATAAGCTTCACATAGTCTCCCTGTGGCCCCAGAAGGGCAGTTGCATGTGTACACGGCGTCCTCTCCCGACCCCGGGGCGCAGGTAGATCCCTGGGCACACTCATTGTCGACACACTGGTCTGGAGGGGTCAGACACTGAGGTCCTGTGTACCCCCCGTGGCACACACAGTAAGCCGATCCCGGTAAAGACAGGTAGCACCGTCCGTTTTCTCCACAGTCAGCGCATACTTCTGTATCTAAATTGGATGAGAAGAAAACATATTGTACACGTTGGGGTGAGCTTGTGAATTTAATGAATAGTTGCACTGACCATTTTTCATTATATTTGATAATAAATTAAACCCAAAGTTAGACTCTTCTGTAGAGATGTTACAAGACCTATTTAAAAATAGCTTTATATCCATTATGGGACAGCATGAAGCACGACGACCTAATGTAAACAAACTACACTAACACCGGACATATTGGTTTGATAGGGAATGCGAGACACTGAAACGTACAAAATATGTCCTTCTTGACAGGTTTAGGATTACGAATGATAATTAACATTGCAGTGAGTATTTAAACGCCAAGAAGCTTTTTAAGGAAAGTTGTAAAAGAAAAAAGATTGATTATGGAATGTCTGTCTCTGAAAAAGTTGCAAAAGCTGCAAAAAGTAAATATTGTAAATTATTTTGGAAAACAGTTAAGAAATATCGTTATAGACGTGAGTTTGGATCCTCATCCATCACTGCTGATGATTGGTATGCCTACTTCAGAGAAGCAAAATCAAATCGCTCATTTGATAAAGATGCGGCAGATTTTCTAGAAAACCATTTTACTGTAGAATGTGATGACTGTAGTAACTGCGATGAACTGGTCAGTGGGGAAATATCAGACCGTGAAATAATAATTGCTATACAGCATTTGAAAACTGAAAAATAACCGGGACATGACAGGATCCCACCAGAAACTGTGAAGGAAATCTGTTTCTGTTATTACCATTGTAGAAGCGTCTTTTTAACCATATTCTTGAGACAGGTCAACTCCCGGAATCAGGACTTATTGGCCCATTACATAAATTCGGCTCGAAGGATGTCGCAAATAAAAACAGAGGCATTGCCATGTTAGATATTATAAGTAAAATATTCATATGAATTATTGAATCTCGAATAAACTTTCGGGTCTCCACCCAGTAGATACTGTCAGAATGCCAAGCAGGGTTAAGAGAAAATTACTCAACGATTGATCACATATTGACTCTATATTCACTGAGATAAATATATTAGAAAGAAGCGTGGAACATGTTACTGTATTTTTGTTGACTTCAAAAAAGCATTTGACACCTAGGATCGAAATACAGTTCTTTATACGCTGCTCGGTAAAGGTATACATGGTAAGATAAGTAGACTGCTAAGAAGTATATATGGAAACGTAAAAACAGCTGAAAGATGTAAAAACTACTATGACTGATACATTCAATATAAGTGCAGGTGTAAGACAGGGGTGTATATCACCACTCCTCTTTATCTTGTACATGAACACTGATTGTAGTGGTATATTTGAAGACGAAGTTGTACAGGTATTATCGATTTTACTATTTGAGGATGTATGCAATATTTGCAGATAGTGTTCTAAATTTACAGAAAAGGATAGTTGTTCTAAATAAATATTGTGCTGAGTGGGGAGTATCTGTAAATACTAACAAAACTAAAGTTGTTGTTTTCAAGAAAGGCTGAAAGATACCTATACATGAGAAATAGTTCTTCGGTCCAGAGGGACTAGAAGTAGTATCATTCTACAAATATCTTGGATTAACAATTTCATGTCGAAATTTATTTACAAAAGCATTCGGAGTACTTTCAAGGCAAGCAGATAAAGCAATGTATTCAGCTAAGCAGTTTATTAGTTAATTTAGAAATATACCTGTTGAATCGCTGTTAAGGATATTTGATGGTAAAATACAGCCAATACTGATGTACGGCTCGGAACGTTGGGTAACCTTATATCGCCACAGTATTGAGAAAAACCATACAACATTTTGTAAATTTGTTCTTGGCGTCGGCTACCGGTCACCAAATAAGGCATTGTAGTAGAATGCGGAAGGCACCCGATATATGTAAACTATCAATGCAGAGTTATCTCATACTGAATACGTTTGCTCAGACAACCACATACACGATACTCTAGACGATGCTTTTGCATGCTTTAGCGCCGTGATGACTTTAGGGATATAAACTGGGTCTCAGCTGTTAAAGACATTCTTTTTTCGCATGGATTTGCATAAGCGTGGATATTCCAGGATGTTGGAAATAAAATTATGTTCTCAAAAATGTTTAAAAAACGATGTAAAGATTTGTATTGTCAAGGCTGGTCAGCTGATATCAGATGTTCAAAATCACTACATGCCTTTTCAATGTTTAAGAAGGAAATGATACCAGAAATGTATTTAACCATTATTCGATCTATATGTTTACGCAGATGTTTAACGAAGTTCATGTGTGTGTTATACATACCCTCAATATACAGTTATACAGACATTCCAAATATAATGATTATTAACATCGATGTTTCCTTACTGCAAATATTACCAAGACGATGAATACCATGTCTTACTAATATGTCCAGTATATTAGTGAGTGAGTTAGTGAGTTGGGTTTAACGCCGCTTTTAACAATATTCCAGTAATATCACGGCGTGTCAGCTTAATGTGGGAGGAAAGTCTGAAGTGATGCAGGTCTCAGACGTTTACCACTTCGGTGAAACCCACGAGCACGGGTATGGTGCTGACAAACCTAGAAACATAATCGGGACGAACCGGGATTCGAACCCACAATCATAGGTTTCTGGCGTTCCCAAGGGACGTAACTCTGCACAGCGAATCGCGGCGCCTTAGACGATGATTCTGAGCGTGACCTGTCAAACCCTTAACGTCTGCCCAGGCTATCTGAATTTTCTCCTACTTTAAGCTGACACGACCCGATTTAAGTGAAATATTATTCAGAGTCACAATAACTCGACTTGTTTCTTTTCCACGTGTCCTTTGTCTGTGATTTACGAAATTGGATAAACACATATCTTTTTTATTGCAGAATCTAGGTCGTACGGAATATAATAAATAGTAAGGCACAAAGCTATAGAATTCTCTTATAGATATAATTAATTCACTCGCACAGTCATATCCTTTCTTTCCAAAATGATTAAATTAAATTAAATTAAATTAAATTATTGATGGCTTTTAAGATAGAATTCATTATACGAAACTCGAGCTCACCATTACATGTTGAAGGGGTAGCTTCGAAGACCTTGGAAATTTGAACCATGTCCAGATGGTCCACTGCAAAAACAGATCCAGACAACAACGCCGAGCAAGAGGACGCCAGCCTGGATGCGTGCGCAACGTCAACGGAGGGAACAACGACCAATCCACGGAGATGTATATCTAAATGGACACAAGCATTTACATACAGCATAAATACGTCCATTGTTGCTGTAAGTGGTTGAGTTGCTCATAATTCGTCACGCTCTTGGGTCATGTGGAATTTTCTGTTTCTGGTTAGTGAAGAGATGTGCATCCTATAGGCGTGCCCGGATCAAATAATCGTAGGTTCGAATCCCTTATTCGACATCATCTTGGATTGTCAGAAGCATACCTGTGCTCGTGGATTTCACCAAAGTGTTAACGTCTAAGACTCATTTATGGTATTACAGTAGGCTTTGGCTGGCATCGTGACATTACTGTTAGTTCAAGAGTTGTGTCAAACCCAACTCAACGTTCTCATAAGCGTTAAAAAAGCCAACAAAAAATTCTGGTACATATATCTTAATAACTCACAGACGTTAGTTCCTACTGTGATTCTCATCTTTGATTGCGCAGGAATAGGACAAGCGGATGTCACCTGTCCTTCCCATCTCCCCTGTCCGTTTGTAAAGATAGTGACCTTTTCGGTGGTCCAAACAATTGTAACTTGGGTCCAGGCCTGTGTCAGAACATCTTGAAGAACCGTGTTGTCACTGCAATGATGATTTACTTAGAATTAACATCGAAAAGTGTCTCTTGCATCTTATTTGTATGTCATGAGGGGCTATATTTTGACGAAAGTTGTTTATTTGTCAGACTTTAAACTTGTTTGGGGCAATATATTACAAATATTTTCAGATTTAGTTATGCTTCATCAATAGCTCCAACAACACCGTATACTTGTATATCAATCGTTTACCTCTCTGTGTTGACTTGTATGTCAGATGATAGTTGAAGTCGGAGAGTTGTTCCAGCTTCATCGCGGAAGACCTCAAACTCAGCCTGGTTACCCTGTGTTTCGACCTTGACCCACATTCCCAAGGTGAACTCGCAGACGTCAGATTGTGTGACAGACGTCATGTTGACTGTCACAGGTCCCTCCATTGTAATGTCACGAGCTACGACGTTATTAAAATGTGTCATAAATCAATTATTCTTCTGTGATGGCTTGTGAGTAATCGAATATAGGCGAGGCAGAAGAGTGAGTGAAAACATGAGCATGTTCCACGCCAAGCAATTAGCAAAGGTCGCTGTCTGCACACCTTATACCCAAACAAGTCGGATTATGATGGTGGCAGGTGGAAGCCAGTCGCCTAAGGCGCCGCAATTCGCTGTGCATAGTCGCGTCCCTTAGGACTGCCAGAAACCTATCATCGTGGGTGGGTTCGAAACCCGGAAGGCCGTGATTATGTTTCTAGGCACCAGTTCTAGAAACAGGTGGGGGATGGGGTTCTATCCTTAAGCGGATTCCACAAGATAACATGATGTTGGCCAGAGGATATCAGTGTTTGTTCTCGGGTGGTCCTGTAACTGTCTAAGCAGAATTAGGCGTGCCAGTGAGATCACTCACTCATGGTCACTCATTTACTTAATATTCGCACTCACCAATGCAGTCCATCTGGGTGATTGACGCTGTCGTCTCAGTAGTGAACCCTTGGGGACAGGCTGTACATGATTTGTTCCCGGTATCTGGCTGGAATGTTCCCCTTGAACAACTTGAACATGGGACCAGCCCAGTTGGAGAAACATGACCTGGTCCACACATCGCTGTAACAACAATACTCATTATACATTGCTCACACAAAGAAGACGATATTTAAAGTGATATAGCTATAATAACAGGCATTACATGTAGGCAAATTATTAACGCTTGTATGCATGCCGTTTTGGAAATAGTCTCCGTGGAGGTTTTGTCAGTTTAGCGTTTGCAGAATTTTCTCAGAGATAGGTATATAACGTGTAAGTGTCGATGGCATGATCGCACACAACACAACACAACGGACAACTGATTGTGTCACAATTCGTGATCAGCACTCTAGGGGTACCATAGAATTCCAGGACAGATCCCGTAGTGGATGTCCGAGGTGCTCCACCTGTTGTCAAGACCGACTCCTCGTCACACGAGTCCTCCGCGACAGCCAGTAGAGCGCTACATGACTCTAACTGCAGCAAGCAATGGAGCCACGTCTGTACACGTACAATTCGTAACAGCTTGTTTGCAGCCTTTTTGCGAGCACGGTGGCCATTGTGACACTACCCTGACACACCATGACATCCAGACCTAAACATCTACGTCTCGACTGATGCTGGTCACATGTGATGTTTACCAATTCGTGGTAAATGATGGTCGTGTCGACGTCATGAGGAAAGTCATCAGCCACTTTAGATGATGCCTCATGATCGTTATGACCGGGAATCAGTGGTGGTGTGGGGATACTTCACTATTCCGGGCTAAACAGATCTCCAAATGGACGAAACACTGTCTCCCGCTACCGAGACACTATCATCACCTTCCACGTCGTGTCGTTTCCTCAGCTCCAATACAATGCCTTCATGTCCAAGAATGACAGCGACAGAGCTCATGACATCATCCCCTACAAGATACAGATGCTCCGGAAAAGATGTCCCCTGACCTCTCCCACAAAGAAAAGAATGAGATATGCGAGGCAGATATGAAAGGCAACCGCCTTCACGACGAGGGCCTGCCTCGCAAAAATGAACGACAGCGGTTCCACTAACTGATCATGATGATCGGTCTTGTCATAAGCAGAAAGCGATGTCGATATGTATTGATCACGTGAGATTTTAAAAACTACTACCCCCTGTGTACAATTCTGCTTCCTGGTATTGCAGCAAGTGGTAATATTGTACTGATATATTTGTATATAAATATCTTCACCGTGTAAGTTATTCACAGTGAAATATTGGTTGAGAAAATTGATCCTAACTGATATGAAAGGATGGTGGAACGGTTTTGTTCTTGCTTCCTGCACATGCAGTCGGCGTTCAGAAGATGAATGTTCCTGTGCAGGGAATACTGACTGTTGATGTTGGTCTGTGGATGTAACTGTATCTAGTTCACCACGAAATCCACTTACCCAAACACTGAGTTTCATTGGAACTGCCCTCTTTGAGACTTGAGAAGCCAGTCGGACATTTCTTGCAGTCAGTTGAACCTGTCGTGTCCTGGTAGTATCCAACAGGACATAACTCACAAAGCTCTTCCTTGTAATAACTGCCTTTAGGACATGGCACTGCAACAGAGTGGACGTGGTGAGAGCAACTGTTCTTGCTGTAACAGTTGAATACATTTACTGGAACAAAATGTGTTATGATGAGGGAACGAATTAATTACATTGTAACAGAAGGTGTTATAGTAGGAGTGAGTGAGTGAGTGAGTATGGTTTTACGCCGCTTTTAGCAATATTCCAGCAATATCACAGTGGGGGACACCAGAAATGAGCTTCAAACATTGTACCCATGTCGGGAATCGAACCCGGGTCTTTGGCGTGACGAGCGAACGCTTTAACCACTAGGCTACCCGACCGCCCCGATATAGTAAGAGAATAAAATTGGTAAATTTATATTGGAACAGGTGTCTTTGTAAGAGAAGGATGTCAGTAGCTTATATTGGAACAGAAGATGTCAAGGCGGCGTAAACATCTTAGTACCTTATAGTTGAACAGGAGATGCGTTTGCGAGGGGTAGACCTTCGCAACAAATACTGGAACAGGTTATAAGGGGACAGTTTTAATATGTATGGCGTGTGAAAGAACTTAGTTTCTTACACACCTGTGGGTGAGAAACCCATTTGAGATAACTGGTATCAAACATGTGTGAGATCGAATTCCAGGCCCGTGATTGGCTACTCCATGGTGATGACCTGAGGTGATGATGACGGACTACTTTCCTGATTGTTAGTCATTGATAAGTTGCTCGTGCTTCAGTCGAATGTTCACCTACGCCTGTGTTGAACCACAGGACCGTGTAATAATTGATAATAATAATAATAATAAACAAACACGTCCTCGTCTGCGAGTTTGATTGTTATTATTATCAGTTACATTATCTGTTGTTATGTCAACGTTATCGTTTTTTAGAGTGTAATGCACCCCCTGGATGCCACAGCGACACATATGTCCTTCCTCTTCAACCCTCACTTTGAAGTCGAATACAATTCAAAATACATCACGCAAACTAATACACTTCGCAGTTTTGAATTCACCCTTCTGTTTATCATTTGCTGTCATTTTAGGCAAAGCAAAATTACTGAAGGTGCCTTCTGAATATTAGGTACATCGTAAATCTAGCCAAATCACAATTCACGGCGTTATTTAATGTGTGTTTAGAAATCTAAATATCGGATACTTACTCGAAAAATTAAAGTAGAAAAATAGCATATTAGTTATCATGGGTATCAAATCACTAATGATACTTCTGAAACGTCGCTGATAAGCCTAGAATCGTTTAGAATGTTTTGGAAAATACGCATACACGAACGCCGAAGTGTACGTTCCGCCATATTGGATTGTGTTTACAAAATGCCGCTTTTGAGACGCCTATTCGATCAGGTATATTTCAAACTCAGATGCTATACATGCATCCCTAAATTCCTCATATATTTTAGAAACAAATGACAGATGGTCTTTGTCACCAATGCAAATTATCTTGATGAAATCATGCGAAATACATTAGGTGTGGAAACGAACACTGCTAAGAAAACTGTACTGAAATGTAAACAAAGCAAAATATTGAGATTTTACTCTGTGTTGCATGTTAAGACGTACTTTCGTCTAATTGTTGCATACATTGGCTCGATCACGCATTGAAGAATATTCATGGGAAGAGTATCGTTGCACTAATTATGGAATTACAAATATAAACATTACAATGATTTGGTAAATTCAACAGAAACCGTAAAAGTTTCCGTCTTGTGTGACGCACAACGACGACAGTAGTTATCCGCATTTCTGACTAATTCTCTTTGTTACTTTGGAAAAAAATGGTAAACAAATAACAGTACGCAGATTGTCAGAATGGTTCTGATTACTTATGTGACATATTTATGTATATACGATCCCTCAATCAACGAAAATCCTCCTCTGGAAATCCCGCGTACTGTTGCCAGTGAACACGCCATTTTGTAAAAGTCGGTCACCGGTAGTGATGTCATACGGAAGTAAACATTGTTGTACATATTTGGTAATTTCTTTGAGGTGTAAACTTTTAACTCGGCATCCAGCGTGTTCTTTGTTTTTGTCTAGTTTGCATTATCATCATCGCCTTGATAATCCACAGACCTTTTTGTGTAGGGTCACATTATTTATGTGTAGTAAGCAGTACATGGGACGTCACTAATGACAATGGTGTTATGTATTAATGCGCCACTGCGATCATGAGAATATACAAAATGCATCGACTCGATGCTAAAAAGGTGCGATTTTAGGGTGTGTAAGAAACAGATTACTGCACTCGTGCCCGTCAGATACCATTGATCTTACAACTCGTTGTTACAAAGCTCATCTAACGAGCGAAAGCGAGTTAGATACGTTTTGAAACAAATGGTTGTTAGATCAATGGTATCTGATAGACACTCGTGTAGTAATCTCTATGTCCTGTATAAGGGCATAGGTTGTCACTGTGACAGGAACAACTAATATATATGGCGAGATATACCAGTATGACTAACTAGAGGATTTTTCCTGGCAGTTTAAGCTTTCGTTTACCTAATTGCAAACAATGATGTGCAAGGTATACGAGGCTCACTGCTTGCTGCATGTACTACACGTGAAATACACGAGAAGAACCTTGCTTACACATGGAACAGTTATCAGCAAAATCTTTGTACAGAATACTCACCACATCCTTCTTCAGACACTCTAGGCTTGGTATACCCGTCACTACACAGTGGTTGATCTCCCAAGGACACCATCCCCAGAGGGCTGATCACCTCCCCATTCACAGTAAAAGAACTGTCTCCATTTAAAGCTTGGAACAGACTGTCAAGAACGTTAGTTGCTTGTGCTGTTTGATCGGTGTCAGATAAAGCTGGGTTGTCAGAAAGTTCAACGTCTATATCAAAGGCAATATAGTTCAATGTGGGAGATCGTCCTAAACGCTTCAGTAATTCCTGTTCTGACCGTTTGCGTCTTCTTTGTCTGGTTGTTTGCTTTTTGTTTAAGGTATCACTCATCAATATTTCAGCTGTATCACGGCGTCTGCGTGTGCTATCACAGTAAACTTTCACATTATGTGGAAGGCAATGAGTTGCGCCATACCCAAGACAGATAGGGTTCATGGTGGATTTCGCCCTCAGTACAAAACTTGTCTTTATGTTATCCTTGGATCCTTCACACGTACCATTATACCACAGATAGACCGGAAGTCGTCTCCGATGCCTGAGAAATGGCAGTATCTCTGTGAAAACAGTATTTAAATATAATGACCTTATTTGCACTTTTGTGTTTTGAAATGTTATTATGATCAACACAAAGTAAATAGTCATAAAGTATCAAACAAAAGCTAAATATTATGAACACATCTCATTACAATCGGATCTTATTTCTCGCTACTGCTAAACAAAGATCAGAGGACATCCCATTAGGGGTCACGTCAGAACGACCTTTCATCCGACCAATCAGAGTGTCGCTTACCAGATCATGAAAGTGACAGTCGGAATGTGATTTCTAATCATGCAGCCTCGAAAAGTTTTAAACGGGGTATTCCGAACGATAGTTACGGGCTTAACGACTGAATCTATACAATCTAGACCATATATTAGCCATTCGAGAATATTCTTTTGTTCAGGTTCCAAATTTTTTAGCGAGAATTTGTCAAAATATGTTTGGAAGCGTAGTCGCCAATTTGCAATTAGTGCCGTAAAGCACGAGAAAGCTGTTCGTTTGAATGTTCGTTTGTTCAGTTTTCAAAATTTTAATCGAGAACTGGGTCAACATATTTTTCAAGCGTAGTCTGAAATGGACGTCGCCAGGTTGAAACGAGTTCCGTAAAGCTCGAGAAAGCTGCTTTCTAATTGGCTAATGTCGACTTCTTGTCAGTAATTCCATTGGTCGGTCAGAGTTCGCGAAAGGTCGGTCTGACGTGACCGGTAATGGGATGTCCTCAGATCTTTGTTTAGCGGCAGCGAGAATTAAGATATGATTTCAATGAGATTGTGATGAAAAGGAAATCATTGAATGAAACCAGTTCCGATTCCCCCAGTATCACTCAAGACAACCGAATCGTGTCCCATCGGTTGCACTCATCTGGAACTACTTGTGAACCCCAGGAGCATGAATGGCCCGGTCGTCTATAAGGTGCCGATTTTTTTTGTGAGCTCGAATTCCGGTTCGTGCTGATCGTGTGTCTAGATTTGTCAGCAACATACCTGTGCTCGCGAGTTCCACCAAAGTTGTATCGTCTAAAACCGGCAGTACATTTACACTGACAACACGCTGACATGCCATGACTTAACTGGACTACTGATCTAAGCGGCGTTAAAACCAACTTCACTCATTACAGGATGAGTCTACATCAAGATGCATGAACTACATGTATCTTTTAGGCTCTGTTTGCTCCATATTAACAGTTTATGAAAACGTACGTTCTAATTGTTAATTACCAATATTGTATATCGGACGTAACGGCTATGAATCGAAACAGGATGTTTGAAAGAGAAAGTGATTAAACGAGACGTAAGGGCCATCTTACTCACTCATATCGCATTGGAGTCAAACGTTTCGTTTCGAACTGTTAATTCGTGATGTACCTACGACGAGTCAGCGAGTGCATACTCACTTGTGCATTCAGAAACCAGAAGATAGTGTCCGCCATTCCATGCTGCTGTTCCTGTATCATCGCTGGTGCATCGAAACTCATAATCATACTTGACATTTGGTACATCGTAGTCAGTGTTACAGTGTAGGTAGCAGATCCGCTGGCTTGCAAATTCAGAACATGAGAGTGCACCGTTATCTGGATGTCGTAGATCTGGGCACTGTTCAACTGAAATTGTGAGACAAACTTCAGAATGATATTCACCAATGTGTCTCACAAGTCAAGGTTACAGTGAAACTCCGCTAATCCGATCACCCTCAGTCCCAGTCGTCCAGACGTTGCAGTTGGGAGTGTCCAAATACATGGATATGCAAGAATAGTCAATATAGATTGGTAACACACTCTAGTTGACCCAAAGCTAGAAGAGTCCACATATATCCTCAGATGAAACACTCTAGTTGACCCAAAACACCCTAGTTGATCACAAGCTAGAAGAGTCCACATATGTGTGTGAGTGAGTATGGTTCTACGCCGCTTTTAGCAATATTCCAGCAATATCACTGTGGGGGACACCAGAAACTGGATTCACACATTGTACCAATGTCGGGTCCACATATATCCTCAGGTGAAACACTCTAGTTGACCCAAAACACCCTAGTTGATCATAAGCTAGAAGAGTCAATATAAGTACTGAGGTAAAAGGCTCTAATTGGCCATAAGATGGAAGTGTCAATATTAGTAGTCAGGTAAAATACACTAGTAGGCCATAAGTATGAAGAATCAATAAAGGTAAAACACGCTATTGGGCCACACGCGAGCCGAGTCAAAATTAATAAATATTGAGGTAAATAAAAGTTTACATTCTAGTAGGAGAAGAAGCTAGACGAGTCAATACAAGTAATCAGGTGAAGCGCTCTAGACGGCAAGAAGCTTGAAGAGTCAATAACAATAAACAGGTAAAACAGGTTGCCCAAAAGCTAGAAGAGTCAATATAAGTAATCAGGTAAATACACCAGTGAGAAAGTGTGAAGCATCATTTCAAGTAACCATATAACTTCCCCTAGTGGCCACCAACTTCAAGAGTTAATATATGTAATTAGGAAGAAAACACTAAAGGGCCAAGCATTAGATTAGTCAGTATCAGTAACCAGGTAAAACATTCAGGTTAAGAATGACGTACACGTCAGTATTCAGGAAAAATACTTCAACGCTAATCAAGAAATAAGTACTATGAATTGGTAGACAGGTAAGTATGTGGACATAAGTCTCAGGTATGAAAATAAAATAATAATGTGGAGGTAATATTGAAAGGCAGACATACATGTTCATGTTTAACAATGTTCCGTCATTCTAACTAATCTGTCCGTGGGCATTCCAGGACTTCGTTAATTGTGTGTCATCATTGTTCACAATATCAATCACTGGACGGTCAAAACTCCGTTGACTGCCTCCGTGGTCTAATGGTAGTGCGTATTCCTCTGAGAGTGGAAGGTCGGGGCTCGATGCCCTGCTGCGTCATAACAAAAGGCGTTAAAAGATGGTATTTGTTGTTACCCTGCCTGGTCACTGGTCGGGTCGGAGTCAGTATACTGTGTCTGAGTGGGGTATTCATGTTAGAATGGGGCATGGTATCTCAGTGGGCTTGCACTATAAAATCGGCATTAGTCCAGATTAGTACAAGCAGCCACGCACACACGCGACGTTAAATCCCATTTCACCTACCTCATCTCCAAACTCCATTACTAACAGACCGCCGTCATATAACTGGAATATTCTGAGTGTAACCACACACACTCTCTCACACACACACACACACACACGCACGCGCGCGCGCGCGCACACACAAACACACACACACGCACGCGCACGCACGCGCACACGCACACACACACACATACCTTTGCAGAATGGTTTGCTCTTAGGAGGCGTGTCATGCTGCCCCCAGTCCCAATACTGGACACGGCTGCTGCCCGGAGTCTCCCTGCAGGTGATGTAGTTATTGCCTTCTACCGGTAAATCATAGCGGCAGTTAACCGTACAGACGGAACCCAGGTAGAAGGGAGGATTGCAGGCGGGCATGATCAGGTACTCTCCTTCCAACTCAGGGGGATAACACTCCGGGGCTGTAATTATTGATTGTTATCTGTCTACCTATTCAAAAACGTTACTTGTGTATACTGTCATTATATATAAAACCCCGACATGGATGCACTCGGCTTATAATATCAACATAATACCAGCATGGGGGCATAAAGAACATTCCAGCAGGTTTTTTTTAATGACAGCTTATGAAGTATCATCGACAAATTGTCCAAATATGGTGTCCACCCTGTGCTAGGTAGGTTGACCTGTTGGACTGAGATAATCCAAGTGATTGAAACCCAATATTCTCGCCGTCATGGAAACCCAATTCTCTTTCTATATATACGACAAAATTCTTAATTTATCCACGAGATTTAAAGTAAAACTCATTAACACGACTTCGTTGTAAGAAATAAGTATCTACCTGTATACATATTATGAAATATGAATCTGTTTGTGTAACTATGATCTCTCCTTGATGCCGGAAGATGAAATTAAAACCTGTAAATATGTAAAATAGAATACAACAGTCTTCTTACCTTCGATGTTCACTGCAAAGGTACACTGTGTTGCTTTATTTCCTGTGTCATCCTCAGCATCAAATGATACAAGATGAACCCCAGGAGGAAACAAACCAGAAGTCCGATTGTACCCACCCAACGGCAGGATGGAGGGAACGTTACCAGAGTTGTCAGTGGCAATGATCTGCGGCCAGGTCACAGCCGTTACGTATTGGCCGTGCGCTGCTTGTTGATGGATGGTCTGCGATGGGCATTTTGTGAAGACAGGATCCTCAACATCTTAAAGGTGAAGAAAGTATATGTTACTGTCATCATGATAATTGTATTAATGTTATTATCCTATTCTTCTATTATCAGGAAATGAATGCAGCGTAGTTGTGCAATGGTTAGCGTCATTCGAGTGCATGGCCATTGTTTGCTATGGGCATAGCAGGTGCACTTGTTGATCACAATACTATATTTATTGACATATAGATCGCACATCTTCCCTCAACAAAATTTTAACAAGAAAACAGCGTTATTACTATCCCCCGCCATGGGTCAAGTAAATATTTACTATAAATATAAGAGTCTTATAAAGCCTTTACAAGATGTAGGCAGTAGAATGTTTTGAGAAAATCTGATTTAATGAAAAACGAATACACACAAAAGGCCCCTGCTAAATCTTAAGTATGAACAAGTGCTAGAGCAAAGAAGCTGTGTTAATTGGAAATAGATAATTTAATAAAATCATATGAACATTTCTTCAGAATTGGAAACGAACATGTCACGTACATGTATATTTTGCCGGACGATCTCCGTTCCACTTCGTGGCGGGGGATAAAAAGTATGAACTTGTAACATCAATGAACGACAGATATAACTCCCAAATAAGGAACTCTGATAAAAATATATTTCAAATTGCCCTGAAAAGTACTAACCTGAACATTGAAAATCGATCGTTGACCAACTTGCTCCATCGCAGCGTGTGGTTCGATCTCTAGTGGCTGCATATCCCCCCGTAGTGTTGCACCTGACGATGCAGGTGCTGCCGTAGTTACTGCCATCATCACAGTCGAAGAGAAGGCCGTTTGTCACAATTGTAAGATTGTTACAGCTTGTCACTGAATGATTTCAAACGTTTTTAATTAATAATATTCAAAGAAAACTCAATGATCAATCGCTACTTATCAAATATACATTATAAAGAGACATAATTATAGGCAGTTGTTGAATTCTTACTTAGAATTAATGGACATGTCTATATTTGAATCAGAAATGGTAGATAAGAAGAAACATGTAAATATTAATGAAGAGACATTTCACATTACTCATTTCAGAAGTCGATCAGGTCTGTTAGATTAAAATATAATGAAAGTAAGATATTAAATTGTTGCTAAATAATCTTCAATAACTATTTTTATATTCTGAACCGCAAAAGAAACGTCACCATGGATGATTTGTCCAAACACTGTGAACATACTTTCAGACATATAAAAAAGATGAAACTTGGCAAAACTGATTAAGGTTGAAATTAAAGTGTCAAATGTTCTTAAAGTGAAACACCACACTAGTCTCCGAGAAAATGGCATTACAAGTCAGTATCTCGTGTGTCCGCCGTGTGCATTGATGACTGCCGTGCAACGTCGATACATGGAAGAGATGAGGCGGTTGATGAAGGCCATAAACACTTGAGCCCACACTCGAGGAACGCCTGACGCAGTTCAGCTGCAGTTGTCGGCCTTGGTCGGACGTCATTCAGTCCTCTTTGAATCTCGTTCCACAGGTGCTCAATGGGATTTAAATGGGGACTAAGGGCAGGCTACTGCATGGTTCTGATGCCATTCTGCTGGAGGAAGTTTCTTGTTGCTCTCGCAGTGTGGGCACGGGCGTTATCATGCTGAAACTCGTGGTTGCGGCGACGTGCCAAATGAGGTGTGGCGTGTGGTCTCAAGACTTGATCAATGTACCGAGCTGCTGTGACACCATTGCCTCTCCCTGGACCGATCCTCTGGAAGACCATAGGGCCGACCCTCTGTACAAGACCAATTCCACCCCACAACATGATGCTAGGACCACCCCATGAGTCTCTCTCAACACCACAAGCATCCGAATAACGCTCCCCACGGCGTCGCCAAACTCTCCCTCCCTCTCTCTCTCTCTCTCTCTCTCTCTCTCTCTCTCTCTCTCTCTCTCTCTCTGCCATCTGCTGTTGAGATACAGTCACGGCTCTCGTCGGAGAAGAGGTCTTTTCTCCACTGCTGGTGGCGCCAATGCTGGTGCTGTGTTGCCGACTGAAGACGGTCCCGGCGATGAATGGTGTCAGATGGGTCCTCGGTGTGGCCTGTGACAGTGGAGGTGTCTGCTCGTCAATCGTCGACGCACGGTGTCCGCACTAATATGTAGCTTGTGTGTCCCCATGGTCTGTCGAGCAGTTTCCGCAGCAGTAACAAAGGGATCTTGAAGATGCTGTCGCACAATTTGACAATCATGACGTCGGGTGTTGACCATTGGTCTTCCACTACGTGGTCGGTCGTCTGTAGTGCTGGTGATCTGGTACCGTTGCTGGAGCCTGTATTAGTCCGTACGTGGACTTGAAATGCATTGGCTACGTGCCAGGCGGTTTGTCCAGCTTGCAATCGTCCAAGGGTTTGGTGTCGCTGATTTCTTGTCAATCTTGGCATGTGGTAGCAATTCAATAACAAATGAACGTTATCCGATCTGGGTGGATTTTTATAGGTCAAGAAATGGGTGAACGCATGAGCATTTCAATTTGCACGGAATTCGGGTGCATCGGGTTACCATGGCCGTTGCCGTGATGCGTTTGTGCGATCAGTTTCATTGTCATCATTGTGTTTTTTATCATCAAGTTTCATTTTTCCGGACAGGGTAATGTTAAATTTTAGAAACTTTGACAAAAATCACCCAGATATTTAAATGACAACTTTCCATGCAATGTTACTTGGGGTGACGTTTCTTTTGCGGTTCAGTATATAACTGTGACAAAAAAGTCACCTGCTTGTGGGGAAGTTAGGGAGCTATTCCTGGGACATTCACATTTCAAAATTCACATATTCACCAAAAAATGATTTCAAGTGGAAATCCCAATGTGGTCAAGGGTTTATCAATGTTTGATTATATTATGCATATAAAATATGTTGAGGTATTCAATCACGTAGGACTTTCTGCATGTACTGTTTTTGGACGCGCATCTACGCAAATATTATTTGAAAGTTTCACAATTAAATAGAGCCTCGAGATCGGGTTATCAAGTGGTTACAATAAGAGAAGATGTGTTTTAAGTTAAATGTATGCACCTACATGTACAGGTTGGTGGCTCATGTTCCCACGTAAGATTGTAACTACAGGTGTTTTCGGATGACCCTCTCAGTTCGAAGCCTCGATCACAAGAGTATGTGCAGTTGTCTCCGTACTTTACTCCTTGGATGCATTCAACACTCCCATGCCTTGGGCTGTGCAAGATTCGACACCTGCGAGCTACAACATATATACAACAATGAAACCTCTTTAACTCAAACTCCAGTAAGTAGATACATCGTTAGGAATATACTCAATTGTACCTCAGAGGTTGTGAAATGAAGACATCTATAGATGGCTGGTGTTGCTTGACATGAAAGGAAAGTTGAAGTCATCCCTTTTGTCATTCAGTCTTGGGGTGAGTTTTATCACTCTGAATCTTTTTTCATAGATCTAAGTATATACAAGATGAGGCAGTTTCACCGGTCTATCCTATTCCTAGGTGCGTTAATCAGTGGGATAGAATTGGCTTTTTCACCAGTTTTTAAAGAAAATTCATATGCATTAGGAAACTGTGGCGCCAATAGGGATGCCAACTTCTTGCCTCAATGTCTTCTTTCAAATTTCACACAGATGTTATCAATGAGGAAGTCCAGCATTTCACACACTGTTTCTTTTTCATAAAACTTCAGATTTGTTTTCATTCTTTACACATTCTCCTCAACCCTTTAAGATAGAGATGTATCTGTATCTCCGGTCTCCACGTTTAGGGATAGATGCCCCAAGGATCAAGGAATGAAGCTGTTCCTTAATTTTGTTGTGTGGGATGGTGGTGCACGAAGTTGAAAAGTCAAATGTTTCTACATAATTGAACTTGGTTGGAGACTTCATGAAATTCAAGCAAGTTCATGGAGAAGCGATATATTTTCGATGTTCAGGAGACCTTCGGGATAACGAAGTTTCATTTTTGATCTACATGTTTGTTTGTTGTTTTACGCCGCACTCAGCATTATCCCAGCTATATCACGACGGTCTGTAAATAATCGAGTCTGGTCCAGACAATCCAGCGATTGATATCATGAGCATCAATGATCCACATGTAGATTGTAGATTGTAGGCAAGCTTTAATTCTAAAGAATTTCATAATGTAAATAGATATGAATATGTTAATTTCCTGTAAATACAAACCGTTTTTCTGGAACGTTCCTTACTTACTCTTCACAATAAATGACACACTGCATTGTGATGATCCACCCCCGTTTGTGGTTTTGTAAGTTACTCTGTACGTGCCCTCAGGTAACGCTGACCCTGACCGTTGGCCTTCAGTTTGCCTGTTAACATATGAAAGTATATACATTCACAGGACAAATAATATATATGTGGATATTTAGCGTGTGTTATTGAGTCTATATTCATATCCGATTTGTTATGACATTGTAAGCCGTAGGTTTCAAATGCTGTTGGAAAGGACCGGAATGTTATGATCATAATTATATATACAAGGTAAGACGTCACATACATCGTGACAAGCGAATCAACCAGGCTACAGAATGCTGAAAATAATACCAGCAAATGTTGTTGATCATAAAATGTGGTGTAATATTGATTACGTCATGCTTAGTATATATTTGATCAATAGGTTCTATCCAGAGGAATACCGAGCCTCGATTTTCGTGATTTTACAAAGGTTTTTCATACAATAAGATTACGCAACGCATTCCCGTTCCCTTTTCAGTCGTCAATTACATATGTATGTTTAATATACTATGAATCTGTAAAGGTCATAAAGTCATTGAATGAAAACAGATGCATCACAACTTCTGGGTTTGGGTGACTGTTACAGAACATGGCCAAAGCGTCCGAGGCGAGATCGGAGTCCTGGACCATAAGTTGTACTCGTCTAGAATTATTTGTATCGTGAATCTCATGGCACGGATGGCCCAGTCTTTACGGAAGCAGATACACCACGCATGCAGGCACGCACGCACGTACGCAAACACACTTTGGGCAGGGATGGCAAAATCAGAGACACGCGAATCAACCAGGCTACAGAATGCTGAAAATAATACCAGCAAATGTTGTTGATCATAAAATGTGGTGTAATATTGATTACGTCATGCTTAGTATATATTTGATCAATAGGTTCTATCGGCACGGATGGCCAAGTCGTTACGGAAGCAGATACACCACGCACGCACGCACGCACGCACGCACGCACGCACGCACACACGCACGCAAACACACTTTGGGCAGGGATGGCAAAATCAAAGAGAGTTGTGCCGCAACCAGTCTACGTCTGTGGCAACCGTCTAGGACGTTTTAATCCTACATTAGGATGACACGCCGTGATATAACTGAAATACTGATCAAAACGGTGATATACCAAACTCACTCGCTCACTGACTCTCTCGCCTCTTACTGTATAAAACCTTATAAACTTACATCGTATTTTTTGTTGTGACAGTAGACCAACTAACAACAGCTGTTACTTTCCCTGGAGCTGTGTAGTGCACAGAGGTGATGTTCGGGCAGAACGGTTCTGGGGCTGGCACAATCACATACTCCGTCGTTGCTACACGAAAGGCAAAGAACTTAAAGTAAAGCGGTCCCCAAAATTGTAGCTGTGCCATGACTTTTTAACAAACAATTCCAAACGACAGCGTCGGAGACACAACATTATTTCTTAAACATGGCGATCGCGCGCCGGTCGCAATCGAGATAGCATTGGTCTGTGACAATGTCGCACAAAGGCCGCGACCATAGGGACGTTTGGTTTGGACAGCGATCCGAAGTATATGCGACCTGATTTTATAAGGGATATTCGAGCAATAACCGAAAATATACTCTTTATATAGAAACAAGCATTTTTCGCAAAGTTTGCACTTTGAGCTTTGTGTTTCCTAAAGAAATTCAGAACTACATGCATAGTGAATAATACAATAATAAGTTAAAATCGTATAAGTTCTTTCTATCAACTCTCGGAAGCAGTTCTATGTTTGTTTTGAGGTAATATTCAAATCTCAAATAATATTTAGATCAGCAGTTGTAAATAGTAAGGGGCCATCAATTTAATGAGAATTGAAATGGTTTGGGCTGGAATTTCTGTTAGAGACATAATTATATATTTTCAGATCTGCCTCAAGACATGCTCTCTTGTCATGACACGCGGCGAACATTCTATATGTAATTCCGGAAGAAAGACATTTGTTCCACCACCACCCATACCAACTCTTTCCCGGGTCCCGCACTGATGAGGACATGTAGTGTACTGATGACACTTACGGGTTTGTCGCCTACAGCCGTTCACATCGTGCATGAATACTGTAAAATGGAAAAATAAAACCATATTAACATTCCGATGTCATGTCAGAGCACAGTAGTTAAAGGGTTCGTTCGTCACTCTTAACATTCACCCTTAAAATACCCTTTTCAAAATCGCCATGAAACTAACTAAGTTTCAAAAGTATGAAACAAAGAGTGGATTTTCACGAGCAGTATTGATTAATTATAGGTATATAATTACCTGCAAACAGCAACAAGTAGGATGGTATACTGTGACCCATTGTTGTTTCTGCAACAAATGGAAAGCCAGACTCCACTGAGATAAGGATGTAACACTCGTTATTGAGATTCAGTTTTCAGAAAGCGCATGGAACAATTCAAGGACGTTTACAGTATTTGTCTAAACGTCGTCCTACACCACAAAGACGGCATCCGTCTTGTCAATTTTGTAAAAGGGGCCACCAACTGATATTCCGGATGAAGGATGGCGGTGGAGGTGAAGGGTGGGAATTTGTCTAAAACTACTCTTTTCACGTAAGAGATGGAAGAAAAATTTGTTCTCATGTTCAGTGGACATGCTGGTTGTTCTTTAAGACGATGACGTTTGTTTTGTGGTTCTAAACAACTGTTTAGCTAGATAGACACAATTTTATGGATAACAACTTCTTTAATACTGTAAAAAGCGACGTTTCGGTATGGATCCTTATACCGTTGTCAAGCAAGACTGAATGAGGGACATAGTGCAGAATATATATAGCAAGTGGAGGATTAACAGTAGAGGATTAACAGTAGAGGATTAACAGTAACAACAAGGGCATACATGAGTGGGATAACATAGGTAGGTGTGACAACAAAGATGATGCTATCACAACACGATGGACAGAAAACACATAGCTAGAAGCCAATGGGGCATGAACTGTTTGGCTCCTCTTAGCAGAAATAAGCTATAATCCAACGCATTGCATAATAATCCAACGCATAATGGGCATGGCCTCAGCCCTCCATAATCAAGAATCCAAAAAACACAAAAAAATCCTAATACTTACCGACTCCCTAAGTGGACTGCAAGCCCTCCAAAACAAAAATACCAAAAACCGACCTAAATTAATAAATCAAATACTTAAAATCTCCAACGACCTAACTAAGGCAGGCAAACAAATAACCTTCTTGTGGATACCCGTAGGAATATACGGTAATGAAAACGCCGATAAAGCAGCTAAACTATCCCTCAAAATCCCAGAAATAAGCTTAAACTTACCCATCTCAAAATCAGAAATTAAAAGTGTAAACAAGCAAAAACTCACAAAAAAATGGCATAACCTATATCTAAACTCAAATAGCCAAATCAAAAAAGTGCTCAGCAAACCACTAACCAAACCAAACATTCTCCATCCATCCAAAAAAATCGACAGAGTAATCACTAAACTCCAAACAGGACACACCAACCTAAATAACCACCTAAAAAAAATTAAAAAACACACTACAGGTAACTGCCCACACTGCAAACAACCAGAAACCCCAGAACACGCACTCATCCACTGCACACACTACCTAACACATCGAACCGCATTACAAACCACCCTCAATCTAAACAAGGCTCTAACTCTAGAAGCAATACTAAACCCACAAAATAAACTAGAAAACTTCAAGGCCTTAGGCGTATTCTTAATAAAAACGGAACTAATAAAACGCATCTAAAAACACAATAACCTACCAAATCAAAATCACATAAACAAACAAACATCCACCATACCCAGCTCCCTTGGTTCCTCTCCCCAATCCCATCGGCATCTATTCCAAATCTCAAAATTCCCAAATTCTATATAAGCATCCCCTAAAACCCCCCTCTTGGGTTGCACAGACCACTTACGCCCCTTTCGGAAACACATTAAATGGCCTGGCCGGGCCCGTGTGCGAAATACGCATCAGTCGGAAAGCGCACGTTAAATCTCCAAAGTAAGTAAGTAAGTAAGTACGCATTGCATCTTCATTCCAATCTGATTAATACCCTGGAACCATTCGCTGCGGTGATGTGATGTTGTAACTCGACTACACTCATAAAACTACATCTCTTTGTTGGTAATGGATCAGTCCCAACACCAGCCAGATGTATAGTTTGGGGGTATTCAGTGCTAGTAATGCGTATTGTAATAGAAACTTAAGAATGAAATAATTTCTTATTCAACATTAAGTAGATGATAAGTAAGACCCATTTTTTATTAAGATGAATGCAGATCTTAAACAACAAATAGCCATAAGTGCTGATAAAAGAAACTACACATCTCCTGAGTAGACCCCCATAGTTGTTTTAGTATAGTAGCACTACAAGACCACTCATCTTATCGAACACTAGGCTTAACAATAACAGCGGCCTGAAAAAGGATCGCAGCCTCAATAACAAATCTTGACGTCAATATTGCCATCATCATCAATACAGAGTATTTCGAGAGCAAAACCATAAAGTTTGATATAATGACATGAGCATGTGAGACAGCATGCCTATTACTCTAATTTATTAATAAGCATTTCAAGAGGCCATGTCATGCAAGTAATGCAAGCCAATTGTTTCACTGGAGGTCCACTGGAGTTCCTTGCTTCAACAGGACATCTGCTTTAAGTCGATTGAGTCAGTGCTTAGAACTGTAAGACACTTGAATACCTTTTTGTTTAATTTACATATCTGAGTAAATATATTGTCTTCTGCCTTTTTACCATATTTACTAGCCGCCTGGGGTGTCTATTGTTCTATATAAATCACCGGTGCATCAAGCTGTTTGAAAACACCGTAGGCTTACTGCACTTTAGTAGAAGACGCCTTCGAAAGTCCGACAACTGGTAGTATAGATCACGTACTTTCTGTACCCCTCTGACAAGTGTAAATTGTCAAAAAAGCTATGAACACACAATGTCATTTCACTTTCTGAGTAAAGTACAGACCTCGTATTTTTAAAAAAAGTATTTAAAAAAGTATAAAATAGTCAACGGCAGAGAATAACCAGTCTCTCTGAACGGAATTCATAGTGGTGATTATTGTATTAAGGGATCACTGAAAATCAAGCATGTCCTGCCCAACTGGTAGCACTCGCCACTCACACAATTTGAATAAAAATGAAAATGTTCGTTACCTGACGCCGCACAGGAGTACGTCCATTTAAATCTACTTACCTCGACCAAGTGTGTACCAACCATGTACGCTCTTGATTTAAGAGCGTAAACCGGCAGGGTACAAACCACAGCTACAGCCAGTCACTATGAACTTCCTTCTTCAATCAACCAATCGCATACTGACATGACATCGCTTACCTACATATACATACTGTTGAAAGAAGGTGCACTATAAAGCCGGCATTGGTCAGGACGTTGACAAGAGGACACACACAAACACAAACAAACATGCACCCGCAGAGAGCTTTCTAAGGCATTTCTACTGTCAATGTTGAGTACATGAAATGCATACAGATTGCTTTAGAACAGTGTTTCACTGTGTTAGCAAGATACCAGCATATTACCAATCTGGAATTTCATTTGTTATTGAAGATTTGACATGGCAAACATGATAATCATTACTTGTCAAGATGTAATTATTTATTAAGGTGAAAAACAACAATTGCATTTTCTCATGTTGTTAGGTTTGAAAGGAAATCTAAAGTTGATATATGTGTGACAGAAATATGTTTAAATTTTAGATGTTACCGATCTGGTACTGCGTTTTGTTGCCAGTGGTCATACACGTCATTGGTCCTATCTGCCTAAACAATGCACCTGGACATGGGGCGGACTGGGACAAAGGAAGTTGTTGGTAATAGCCCAGGTTGTATACATATACACTACCATGCCATAAGTTAAGGGGCGCTTGAGACGTGGCAAGTTTGACAAGAGACCATCGCATTTGGTTTAGCACGTCTATGTTTCGCCCCGCGAAATGTTATGATGCGAAACTTTGATTACAGATTGATGGCGTCATCAAGTATCGCGTGCCACATGCTTTGTTGTGGTCTGTTCCGTTTCTCACGAGTTCTGCCACTGTCTTTGTTATGGTTCAGAGAAGGAATATCTGTCGCCGGACAAAAAAGAAGTTATTATAGACCTTCATTTGAATGGTAAATACCTGCAGAGAAATAAGTCAACTGCTGGATCTATCCAAGAGCACAATGCATGGTGTGATTTATAGCTTAAGCGAGAGAGGAAGATTGGAAAATCAGCCCTGAATTGGTAGACCGAGAATTCTGAGCAACCGTGACAGATATGTCTTGTTTTGTTGTGTCAAAGTCAATAGACGATCATCGCTTACAGAAATTACTAAAAACTTGAATGAAAACATACCTTCTACTGTTTCCAAGGGAACTGTTCAGTGTGAAATATATCGTGAAGGCTCTCACTGAACGATTGTTTGCAAACACATCAGAATTCGAGAGGTCAACAGGAAAAAACGAGTTTCGTTGTGCCGATCTAAACTGAGAACGTGACGTCAATCAAGTGTCCGTTAACTTATGGCACGGTACTGTATACGTACTTGCACGTCGCTATAATAATCTCTGACGCGACGCTCAACCCAATTTCACCACCTTAACCGTTGGCTATTCTGAAGCACCATAAATATGAAGATATCAACAGTTTTATTTGAATACAGTTATATCATACTTAACGTAAACATACACCTACAAATTAATTATGCATTGATAACTCTATATATCCGTGTCAGTTGCACTTTTTTAATAAATGGTATCCTGAACCTGTTTGTTTTTGTTTCGAAAGGGATATGATCATATTGAAATACAAAAACAAAAACCAATTATGTAATGAAATGTTTTGTGATTATTCCATGGCAATGTTTATTTGACTTACCTTTTTTCAAGAATCGGTGATTTCTTACATTTATCATCCAAAACGGATATCGCTTATGTGAGATCAAGTGATGTCTACATTGAAGATATCGCTGCAATGAAATTGCATCACAATGCTCTGTGTTACGTCATTGTTACCATGACGTCACATCACAATGAAATGACATCACTAATGGCTCCACTCCTGAAGCTGTTGGCAGTACTTTTTGCACTTAAGACACTGCTTATTACTGTCTACAAACTGAAAAAGTTTTAAACTTTTATCGACTCGTGTAGATATATTTGATATTAAAAGATACTTGGGTGAGATTCTCCATGTATATTATAATTAGGTCAATGTCATAAGTAAATATTACCAAGAGAAAAATTAAAGTTCGGAATATGTGAAAAGAACGGAACATTTTTCCAGATGAAAAGTGATACTGGTGATACTTGTGATAGATCAGGACATTACAGTTACACGTGTACGACATGAGCACATGCAATGGGAGTTATCTGCATCTCATGTTTTTTGGGGGGTACATTTATGATTTAATTCGTGAGTGAATGAGTGGGTTAGTGACAGCCTCGTTGTTTCTGTTCATGCCACTATTGTTTTATTGAAAATGCTCCATTTGGTTCACTTTGGCATGGAGACACACGTACATGTATATGCATTTGCATGAATTCACTGACTTAATTTGTATATGTAATTTTAAGTGAATGAGCGTATTTACATTCAAGGACGTAATCAATAATATTCATGCTGTATCATAACCGAATCTGAGCCAGACAAACCAGTGGTTGATATTATGGTCAACTTCCCACTTCGTTATGCTACGCTGGCACGCAGTCAACCTGGTCACCAAGCCTGACCACCGTATTCATTGAAGTTGCCAATTAACAGGGACATATATTGGTTACACGGGGACATATCCTACCGGGGAATCCCTACTGTGTTGTGATTCTAAGAACGCCCTCAGTATACATTTGTATGAACTCACTGAATATGTGACTGAATGTAATTCTAAGGAACGCGTCTACATTTACATAATTTTATTGAAAATATCGTTGAATGTAATTCTTAGAACACCCCTATACATGTGCATGATTCCTTGAATATGTCGCTTAACGTAGTTCTAAGAACACCCCTATACATTTGTATGTTCCCTTGAATGTACCGCTGAACGTTATTCTGAGAAATACCTGTATACATTTCCATGCATTCATTGACACTGTCGCTGATTGCCATAAGTCTCATATGTATAACTATTGGATCTACGTCTCACCTGTAAACATGCTTACATACACAGTACTTTGTGTACATATATGCATACTCGAAGAATTAAAGATTAGCACGTTTACCTGTCTGTCAAAAGAATTGGCAATAGTGACCTAATAACGTGTACATTGTATTTATCAAGATACCCGCATCCCTTGCAGCAATACGACGTTTATATATGTATTTATACAGCTTTCAACCCAGACTTGTGGGCCCACCCATGATACATGTACGACCAAGACTATGTGGAGGACGTCATGGAAAAGGATAATCATACAATTCTTTGGAATATGCCGATATACAGTCTCAGAAGTACCCAAGCCAACAAACTTGACCTTGTCCTTTTTGATAAATCCAATGAAATCATTTACATCATCGAATTTTCTGAGCCTCGCTTACGCAATGTCATGCTTGCATCCCAGGTACGAAGTTGTTCAACTCCCCATTGTTCTAGGTGCCTTAGGTTTGGTTCCTCCAAATCTCTTGACTGTCATTGGGTGATTACCTTGGTTTGCTGCCGGGAACACAGTTCTTCTGACAATCTGGGTAATACAGAAGGAAGGCCTTCCTGTAGCATGGCATGGCTACTGGCAGTGTACATGTGAAGGGGCCTGCGGTATGGTATGGCTACTGGCAGTGTACATGTGAAGGGGCCTGCGGTATGGTATGGCTACTGGCAGTGTACATGTGAAAGGGCCTGCGGTGTGGTATGGCTACTGGCAGTGTACATATGAAGGGGCCTGCGGTATGGCATGGCTACTGGCAGTGTACATGTGAAAGGGCCTGCGGTATGGTATGGCTACTGGCAGTGTACATGTGAAGGGGCCTGCGGTATGGCATGGCTACTGGCAGTGTACATGTGAAAGGGCCTGCGGTATGGCATGGCTACTGGCAGTGTACATGTGAAGGGGCCTGCGGTATGGTATGGCTACTGGCAGTGTACATGTGAAAGGGCCTGCGGTATGGTATGGCTACTGGCAGTGTACATGTGAAAGGGCCTGCGGTATGGCATGGCTACTGGCAGTGTACATGTGAAAGGGCCTGCGGTATGGCATGGCTACTGGCAGTGTACATGTGAAAGGGCCTGCGGTATGGCATGGCTACTGGCAGTGTACATGTGAAAGGGCCTGCGGTATGGCATGGCTACTGGCAGTGTACATGTGAAAGGGCCTGCGGTATGGCATGGCTACTGGCAGTGTACATGTGAAGGGGCCTGCGGTATGGCATGGCTACTGGCAGTGTACATGTGAAAGGGCCTGCGGTATGGCATGGCTACTGGCAGTGTACATGTGAAGGGGCCTGCGGTATGGCATGGCTACTGGCAGTGTACATGTGAAAGGGCCTGCGGTATGGCATGGCTACTGGCAGTGTACATGTGAAGGGGCCTGCGGTATGGCATGGCTACTGGCAGTGTACATGTGAAAGGGCCTGCGGTATGGCATGGCTACTGGCAGTGTACATGTGAAAGGGCCTGCGGTATGGTATGGCTACTGGCAGTGTACATGTGAAGGGGCCTGCGGTATTGTATGGCTACTGGCAGTGTACATGTGAAGGGGCCTGCGGTATGGTATGGCTACTGACAGTGTACATGTGAAGGGGCCTGCGGTATGGTATGGCTACTGGCAGTGTACATGTGAAAGGGCCTGCGGTATGGTATGGCTACTGGCAGTGTACATGTGAAAGGGCCTGCGGTATGGTATGGCTACTGGCAGTGTACATGTGAAGGGGCCTGCGGTATGGTATGGCTACTGGCAGTGTACATGTGAAAGGGCCTGCGGTATGGTATGGCTACTGGCAGTGTACATGTGAAAGGGCCTGCGGTATGGTATGGCTACTGGCAGTGTACATGTGAAGGGGCCTGCGGTATGGTATGGCTACTGGCAGTGTACATGTGAAAGGGCCTGCGGTATGGTATGGCTACTGGCAGTGTACATGTGAAAGGGCCTGCGGTATGGTATGGCTACTGGCAGTGTACATGTGAAGGGGTCTGCGGTATGGTATGGCTACTGGCAGTGTACATGTGAAAGGGCCTGCGGTATGGTATGGCTACTGGCAGTGTACATGTGAAAGGGCCTGCGGTATGGTATGGCTACTGGCAGTGTACATGTGAAAGGGCCTGCGGTATGGCATGGCTACTGGCAGTGTACATGTGAAAGGGCCTGCGGTATGGTATGGCTACTGGCAGTGGTCATCTGAAGGGGCCTGCGGTATGGTATGACTACTGGCAGTGTACACGTGAAGGGGCCTGTGGTATAGCATGGCTACTGGCAGTGTACATGTGAAGGGGCCTGTTGTATGGTATGGTTACTGGACGTGTAGTTGTCATGTGGCGTGCGATAATCATACATTGGGTAATGGTCCTGTTGGATGGAATGGTATTTATACTTGGTAGAGTAATGGTCCTGTGGGATAATACGATAAGTATACACGTTAGAGTAATGGTCCTGTTGGATGGAATGGAATTTATACTTGTTAGAGTAATGGTCCTGTGGGATAATACGATAAGTATACCCGTTATAGTAATGGTCCTGTGGGGTGGAATGGTATTTATACTTGTTAGAGTAATGGTCCTGTGGGATAATACGATAAGTATACCCGGTATAGTAATGGTCCTGTGGGATGGAATGGTATTTATACTTGGTAGAGTAATGGTCCTGTGGGATAATACGATAAGTATACCCGTTATAGTAATGGTCCTGTGGGATGATAAAGGCAATTATACATGTCTCAGTAATTCTCATGTGGTATGATACGGTATTGATACCTGTTAGAGTAATGGTTCTGTGGGATGATGCGATAATCATACATTGACTAATGGACTTGTGGGATGATACGGTTATTATACGTGTTAGAGTAATTGCCCTTTGGGATGATATCATGGTATTTGTACCTTTTAGAGGATTATATGGTGTTGTCACTGCCAGTGTGATGATTCTGTGTGATGGTATAACACCATGGTCCTGTGGGATGATATGGTATTTATACTTCATAGAGTTATGGTCTTATGTGATGATATTGGGTTATCACTGCCAGTGTGATGGTTCTGTGTGATGGTATGCGTATTGCTACCTAACACAGTGATGGTCTTGAGGGTTGCAAGTTTACAGTACTACCCTAGAAAACCATTTTGGTGGTCTTGTACAAATACCGTTCCATGTCCTCTATTAAATTGCCACCTGGTTACATATAATAGTGAGTGAGTGAGTGAGTACGGTTTTACGCCGCTTTTAGCAATATCCCAGCAATATCGCTTCACACATTGACCCATGTGGGGACTCAAACCCGCGTCTTCGGCGTGATGAGCGAACACGTTAACCACTAGGCTACCCCAGCGCCCCACATATAATAGACAATCCATAACATGAAAATTCAAACAAACGTCTTTATCCTGTCACAGAAACATAGGGAATCTACATGACAGTGAACATAAAACATGAATTAAATATAATGAAATGTCACAAATGTGAAGATAATTTTGAATTAATACCAACCACAGACATTCATCCAAGTACCTAAGTACGAAACAGAGAAGTTCTAAACATGGAAATGTTCAAATATTCATGCATTCATTTATGATTTTTTCCATAGAATTAAAAAGGATCAGAGCGAAAGTGAAATTATAATACATTAATTTATAGCTCATTAACAGCCCAGTTCCCAATCATTAAACATAACAAAATTTAGGCTGTGAAATACTCTGATTCTTAGTATGATATTGCTGCTGTCAGTGTACTTGTGAAGGGCCCTGTAGTATGGTACGGCAACTGTCAAATTTCATTTGAAGGGTCCTATAGAATGGTATTGCTGCTGTCAGTGTACATGTGATGGGTCCTGTGGCATGATATTGCTGCTGTCAGTGTTCATGTCAAGGGTCCTGTAGTATGGTGTTGCTGCTGTCAGTGTACACGTGATGGGTCCCGTAGTATGGTGTGTGCTGCTGTCAGTGTACATGTAAAGGGTCCTGCAGTATGGTGTTACTGCTGTCAGTGTACTTGTGAAGGGTCCTGTGGTATGGTATTGCTGCTGTCAGTGTACTTGTGAAGGGTCCTGTGGTATGGTATTGCTGCTGTCAGTGTACATTTGATAGGTCCTGGAGTATGGTGTTGCTGCTGTCAGTGTATACGTGATGGGTCCTGTAGAATGGTATTGCTACTGTCAGTGTACACGTGATGGGTCCTGTAGTATGGTATTGCTGCTGTCAGTGGACATGTGAAGGGTCCTGTGGTATGGTGTTGCTGCTGTCAGTGTACACGTGATGTGTCCTGTGGTATGGTATTGCTGCTGTCAGTGTACACGTGATGGGTCCTGTAGTATGGTATTGCTGCTGTCAGTGTACTTGTGATGAGTCCTGGGGTATGGTATTGCTGCTGTCAGTGTATATGTGATGGGTCCTGTAGTATGGTGTTGCTCCTCTCTGTACCTTTGAAGGGTCCTGTAGTATGATACGGTAGCTTTCGGTGTACATTTGAAGGGTCCTGTAGAATGGTATTGCTGCTGTCATGGTACATGTGAAGGGTCCTGTGGTATGGTGTTGCTGCTGTCAGTGTACACGTGATGGGTCCTGTAGTATGGTATTGCTGCTGTCAGTGTACTTGTGATGAGTCCTGGGGTATGGTATTGCTGCTGTCAGTGTATATGTGAAGGGTCCTGTTGTATGTTGTTGCTACTGTCAGTGTACAAATGAAGGGTCCTGTGGTATGGTATTGCTGCTGTCAGTGTACATGTGAAGGGTCCTGTGGTATGGTATTGCTGCTGTCGGTGTACATGTGATGGGTCCTGTGGTATGGTATTGCTGCTGTCAGTGTACATTGAAGGGTCCTGTGGTATGGTATTGCTGCTGTCAGTGTACATTGAAGGGTCCTGTGGTATGGTATTGCTGCTGTCAGTGTACATGTACATGTGAAGGGTCCTGTGGTATGGTATTGCTGCTGTCTGTGTGCATTGAAGGGTCATGTGGTATGGTGTTGCTGCTGTCAGTGTATATGTAAAGGGTCCTGTGGCATGGTATTGCTGCTGTCAGTGTACATGTGAAGGGTCCTGTAGTATGGTATTGCTGCTGTCAGTGTACATTGAAGGGTCCTGTGGTATGGTGTTGCTGCTGTCAGTGTATATGTAAAGGGTCCTGTGGCATGGTATTGCTGCTGTCAGTGTACATTGAAGGATCCTGTGGTATGTTGTTGCTGCTGTCAGTGTATATGTAAAGGGTCCTGTGGCATGGTATTGTTACTGTCAGTGTATATGTAAAGGGTCCTGTGGCATGGTATTGCTACTGTCATTGTAGTTGTCATGTGACAAGCTATTTCCACTGTCAGTATAATGATCCTGTGGTATGGTATTGCTGCTGTCAGTGTACATTGATGGGTCCTGTGGTATGGTGTTGCTGCTGTCAGTGTATATGTAAAGGGTCCTGTGGCATGGTATTGCTACTGTCAGTGTACATTGAAGGGTCCTGTAGTATGTTATTGCTGCTTTCAGTGTACATTGAAGGGTCCTGTGGTATGGTGTTGCTGCTGTCAGTGTACATGTGAAGGGTCCTATAGTATGGTATTGCTGCTTTCAGTGTACATTGAAGGGTCCTTTGGTATGGTGTTGCTGCTGTCAGTGTATATGTAAAGGGTCCTGTGGTACGGTGTTGCTGCTGTCAGTGTACATGTGAAGGGTCCTGTAGTATGGTATTGCTGCTGCCAGTGTACATTGAAGGGTCCTTTGGTATGGTATTGCTGTTGTCAGTGTATATGTAAAGGGTCCTGTGGTATGGTGTTGCTGCTGTCAGTGAATATGTAAAGGGTCCTGTGGCATGGTATTGCTACTGTCAGTGTATATGTGAAGGGTCCTGTAGTGTGGTATTGCTACTGTCAGTGTATATGTAAAGGGTCCTGTGGCATGGTATTGCTACTGTCAGTGTAGTTGTCATGTGACAAGCTATTTCCACTGTCAGTATAATGATCCTGTTGTGTTGTATTGCTACCTAGCACAGCGTTATGGTCATGTGGGGGAAGTGATATTTATACCCGTTAGAGTAAAGATTCTACAGGCAGGAATGGTAATTATGCATGTTATAGTCATGGTCCTGTGTTGCCACTGTCAATAAGATGGTTCTGTGTGATGGTATAATCACCACTTGACACAGTGATGGTCCTTTGGGGTGACATGGTATTTATACCTGTAAGAGTAATGGTCTCAATGGTCTAATGGGATGTTATGATGTTGCCACTGCCAGTATGACGGTTCTGTGAGATGGTATTGATACCGAACACGGTGTTGGCCCTGTGGCATGATATTATATAGTATTCATACTTGTTGGAGTGATGGTCCTGTGAATTGGTGTTGCAATGCATCCAATAAAGGAGTGATGTCAGTTTATTGTACTGCCCTAGAGATATTCTTGATTGGTTTGTTGACGTATAGTTCCATTTTCAATATATAATTAGATTATAACTCAAAAAGATATCTCATCTCCAGACAAAATGCATCCCACCCAACCCCGACCCCAACCGAATATCAGATGGTCGGACCGTTAAGCAAACACAAACTAATAAATTCAAAAACAAATATAACACATGAAGGAGAACACCTATTTACATGTGGACATTTCTTGTACCATTGTAACGTCGCTATATAAGTGCAATAATCTTGGACGCGACGTTAAACCCCATTTCACCTCACCTCACCATTGTAAATTACCAGAAATATTTACGCCAGAAGCATCTCATTTCATTCCATGCATTGACTGAAGCAAACAAACCTAACAAGTAAACAATTCTTGTGCAGCTCCTTTTTAGCTATTTTACCCTTAAACTACACATGTGTATGTTCTATTTCAGGTTTCAAGTTCAATAGCGTTGTCAATGGATCTGAAGGCCCTTTTCGGATCTCAGCAAAACATAATGAAAACAATCACTTTACACAGAGCGCTTTCATATTTACTGTAAAATATGTGCGAACATTGTACATGTCAAGAACTATACTTCGTCGTGATGGGTCTCATCAGTCCCCAAACGTTTGATCTCGAAACGATCGATCTGCCAACACGCCTGACCGTAAGGAACATCGCCACAACATTTCAGAGGTCCTGTGAAGAACAGAATCATATTTAACAACAATATTGCAGGACTGAAACACACCATGTATCTTTAGTATATAGAGGAGTAGAGTATATGTAAGTTGCATATTAGGAGTTCTGATATCAATAAAGACCGAGTTAACGTATGGATTTTAACTTACTTTATTACTATGCGATGTGTCGGCACATATACTGGAGATACTGTACATTAATCATGAAGTAAGCGTGACAGTTTTTGGTATATAATGATAGTCGTAATAATACAGAATGTCTTTTGATTACGGAAACTTGTTAAGTCATTGTCACCGTGTAATCGCAATATAACTTTGGAGTTTGAAAGCATAAGAAAATGACGAAAAAACTTATTATTCTCATTACCCCAATCCTGGTGGTTGGTGGATATGACTGAGACGCTGGTTGGAGGTGACGTCAGCGACATCACTTGCGCGCGTGTAACACCGTCAGCATTGACTCTGAACAGTCTAAAATATAGAAGGCAGTGCTAGCGGTAGGCAGAAACATGTACCAGATAAACGTATTGACACTCTTATCTATTATCACTGTATAATCTAAAAGAAAATGGCAGTGCTAGCAGTAGGCAGAAACACTAACCAGGTAAAAACTGACACTCATACAAGAACACAGAAATCGGTGGATGTAACAACATCAAGTAACTCAAACAGTAAAAGCTTTAGAATTAATGACAATGTCCGAGAGCAATTAAATTAAATGCCCTGAAATAAGTCCTACCCCGTTTCACTGGCATAAAAGTAGTAGTCGTTCACGAGACCAAAAAGCGGACTTGCGTTGTCTACTAGATTTGTGACGTCATCACCGTCGGTGTCGCAGCTCATGAGTTGTCCATTGCTGTACCACATCAGTCTGTCAACTGTTAAACAGATGGACATAATTCTATGAGAAGAATATCACACCGTGAGCTCACGGCATCTCATTACAGAACAAAAAGTACAGAACAGATCATAGCTGATTACATCTAACAGTAAACTTCGCGCAAATCTACCACATAACATAAAGGTGCAATGCATTAGACAACCCCATCTCGCGAACACCTGGTATCATCACTATTGCATAGCGAACACATGTTCAGGGTATAGTCGCAATCGTACAATCGGCACAACTTTCTTATGAATACGGAAAGGGCTTTGACGCTCTTATTTACACTATCCAAGGTCCATGAACCGTTTATTTCTATCTCAGCCCCATTACCTGCCTTACACTATCCCGGGTTCACGACTTGCCTACTCACCAGATAATACATTAAAGACTACCAACATCACAGGAATTGGGTCAATCATGACACACACGCTTGTGTATTTGAATGATCAATTTATATACGGATATACGTTTGTGTGTGTGTGTTTGCGTGCGCGCACGTACATGTATATTTCAGTATCATAAACTAAGGCATTACATTTTGTTCTACCACACTCTCCCTACAGGATCTGCTCAAATTGTTAATGTTCCAATGCTTTTTTAACCCCTTCACTTCTCATTTGTTTCCAACAGTGGTTTTATGTTTAAAATATTTCTGAACATTACTACACTAGTTTCCTCGTTCCCTTTCGATGGACACATGAGCAACATTAGCATCATCTCGTCATTTCAGCATGTTAAGAAGTGTACCTTCTGGGTTGAGCCTGAGACCAAGAACGTCTTGTCCAGTGTTCTTGAGTAATGTTCTTGAGTCATTGCCATAACGGTACTGCTGGATTGTCTGCCCCTCTGACCAGTACATCATGCTGTAAAAACAAGAATAGCTCACTCAATCACTCACTCAGTTAGTTTTCGGGTTTCCTGGCATATTTGATCGTATAAGATAGCTACACGATAAATCGCAAAGAACATTAAAGAACGAAACATGTTTTAATTCACGATAAAACATTATGATGTCATTTCTGGAGATTCGAACATGCGCTCGCAACGTGATTACACGGAAGACGTTAATTTATTTAGAGGGAAGTGTCTAGTGAGTTGTTCCCCATAGATGTAGCTAGGCAACGTAGATAAACGCACTGGCCGAACGATCGCATCCAAAAGAAGGCGAGATATGACAATAGGTATTCGGAGAAGAGATACACAGACAATCGAGGTGAAAATTGTGTGTATACGCGGGAAATACCATACTTAACCTCATGTTCATATAATTGACTTGTCCGCAATCGGTCGGATTGTCTTCAGGGAGTGATCATTATTTAAATCCTGATAAATATTTTTAAAGCTTGTACCTTTAAAAGCTATGTATTTATAAAGTCTGTACAAAACGACCCGTGATCGTTGTTTATCGAACAATAAATCACTGCAGGGAGAATGAACCACTCTTGGTACTCCCCAATGGTTTATTCTCCCTGCAGTGATTTATTGTACGATAAACAACTCCTACTCGTCGTGTGTTTCTTAAATAGTATTATTTACGTTAGGAAGATAGTGTCGCACTATACTTTGCTTCGCGATAACGTATTGCATAAGGGTCGCATCGACAAATGTGCTCTGCTTGGTTACATGTGTAAGATAATGGGTAGATTTAAGACATAGATGCTTTATTTTTATGTCAAATATTTCAATGAGTATTTGATTCAATTCCACACTTTTGATTTATACAAATGTAAATAACTTAACAGTATTTATATGCCATTCTTAATGATAACCCTGTTAATCATAGGATTTTATAGGAAACCTCAAAACACATCTATATAAAGGTTACAACAACATACAATGTTTCTTGGTGCAGGACTAGGTCACGGGTGCCATTGAGTCCATCGAGTATGACTATGTCATCTTCGGTGTAACGGTCAGAGGTCACAGCCCTGAGGGAGCCAGTGCGCAGGGTATAGAACACAAGTCCTGACCTCTCGTCCACAGCCAATCCTGTAACCTCCTCCCCTGGAACACAATACATCAAGCCTTAGTGACGTTGATGTAGTCGTATCAGTGTAAGAAGAATACACACACAAACTGTCCTGCGCACGTCCCACCGGTACCAACCTTCGTGGTTCCTGAAGGTCAAGGTTGCTCTAGAATTGACACCAGGAACAATTTACATCTCATCAATTCAAGATTTGTCTCAAAGAGTCAGTGTGTCTACAGGTGTGTCATCTGATCTTTGGGCAAACATATTGTTATATGGAGGTAATCTTATTTCATAACATTAGTGATATAAAAGGGTATTGGCGTTCATTATAGCTAAAATGGATAGAATTATCATTAAACCACCCGCATGTTATCAGAAATGAGCGGGACACTGTAACTTGATAATGCCCTCATACTGCTTGACGACTGGCCATTAGCACGCCCGTTGTTAGGTGACGTCATATGATAGGGATAGGTGACGTCACGTTTAATAGTGACGTCATCTGGTTTGTTCTATCACGTTTCCATATTTGTAACATTCGTGTTGATTGCAGTAAATGTTTCAAAACCGATATTGTTGTTTCTATTTATTTGATAACAAATGCCATCCGTTTTAGCTATTATAACGGTAACGCTATTTTTCAGGGCATTATCATTTGCAGAAGCCCTCGGGCTTTTCAACTGCCCTCCTTCGTCGGGCAGTTAATGGAAGACCTAAAATTAACATTTAACCTTACAACACAATCAAGTCTGACAATCAAGCGACCGACCCTTTTGATATTCTGGAAGGCACGGGTTTTGTATCAAGATTAAATACGTTGTTAGAAACAGTTTCAAAACAAGGTACTTTTTATTTAAAACCATGAGCCTGAAATTTCCTTTTTTTTAAAGTCTGAAGCATAATTATTTTTTTCGGGAAGTATCGGGGGCAAAAATGTTTCGTTATTATTCCCGGCCCATCCCCCGAATATCAAATTGTCAGTCCTGTATCAAGACTGTTTGCCGCCAACATACACTGGTAAGAATAAAACACATAAAGATTCAACAAACCTTTCAGGTTTATTATGGTAAGCCCCAAGTTGCCATCCCATCGGATTCTTCTAATGGAGGCTGGAGATTGCGTGCTGTAGTAGATGAAGTTGTCAGTGGCGCTGTAGAAGTGGTGAGTTACACTACCGGTGATGTCAGAGAGGTTAATAATACTCTCATTTTGGAATGCCAGGTGAGTTTTGGTCAGTGTATTTTGACCGTTGGCAACCAACAGGTACTGGCCAGGGGATTCAGGAGCTGGTGAATGTAAAGCAGGAAGCTTTGAGCAGTTTATGTGGAAGCGGCAACTTTTTAGTATTCCCGCTATATAAACTAAATTTTGATCATGAACCTACATTATTTCAAAAAGAGCAACATTTCATTCATAAATACGCGCCTAAGTTAAATGGAAAGGCGTAAGCTATTTGTCCATTGTCACCTTGGAATTGTGACGTCATAGTTATCCTTAATGTAATGACGTGACGTAACTATATGTTACGACTTCATGTCCTTTATTCAGTTATGGCCTGATGGGACTCGTATGTGGTACGAGTTGAAAGCGCTAGCCAATTAAAATTGTGTTCAATCTTACTCCACTTATTTAATTATATATATATATTTATACTGAACAACAAAAGTCCCTGTGACATTGAATAAGATTTAAAGCAAAGTTATGTTTTTTACCAAATCTGAAACAATTTCGGTTTGCAACAGATAAAAGACTCCTGTAAGTGTTCAAATTATTTAATTTGCCATACTGACTTCAGAAAATGTGTGATTTCATAAAAAAAAAAAAAAACATGAACATGCCAAGATGTCAATTTACAAGTCAATAGCGGGTGTGTCGACCTCTGGTTGCGATGCAAGCAACACATCTTCGTCTCATTGAATGGACCAGGCGTCGCACAAAGTCCTGTCCATATCTGCTGGAGCATTTTTCGAAGTTTCTGGTGTGTCTATGGAACACGTGCTTGACATCTAAGGCGCCGATCCATCTTATCCCACATGTGCTCGATTGGTGAGAGATCAGGGGAGCGAGCTGCCAAGGGATGACATTCACGTTGTTTTGTTGAAGAGATACCTGAACAAGTCGAGCAATATGAGGCCGGGTGTTGTCATATTGAAGGCAATGCCTGGGCCATGATGACGCAAAAACGGTAGAACAACAGGGCTGATGATCTCGTCGCGATAGCGCTGTCCATTGAGATTTCCCTCTACCACTATCAAACGGGTCCTCTGTCTTGCTGTAATCCCACCCCATACCATAACGCTGCCGCCCCCGAACTTCCATGACACAATGATTGACGTAACGTTCACCTCGACGTCGGTACACTCGAAAACCGTCAATCGCTGTGGCTGAGGTGAAAACGAGACTGGTCAGTGAATAGAAATTGTCCCCAATGCATGGCCGTCCAGCGTAGAGGCTGTCTGCACCAATGTAGACGTGCTTTTCCTGTCAAAATGGGACGTCTGGCGGGTCTTATTGCGACAATCCCTGCACATCTGAGGCGACGACGTACGGTTTGTGAAGATATTCGTCGAAGGCCAGGGATGCTTCGGCGTGTTGTTCGAATCCAGTTGTCTTGTCGATTTATTGGTTACGCATGGCCTGCCACTCCGAGGATGGTCTCTGACTTCATTCGTCTTTTGCCAACGTTGCCATAAACACCAAATGTGTTTCTGTGGACGTTAAATTGTCTTGCAACATTACGTTGACTCGATCCTGCTTCAAGCATACCAATGGCACGAAGACGCTCATTTTCGGACAGGCGTGGCATTTCGTAATGTTGAATAATTGCGTAATTTTGTTGTTTTTCTGAGTGGTTGTTGTCAGCACATATATATATATATATATATATACACAGAGAGAGAGAGAGAGAGAGAGAGAGAGAGAGAGAGAGAGAGAGAGAGAGAGAGAGAGAGAGATACAGACGTACAGACAGAGATGGCACATGAACGGATAAAAGTTAGCCCTTCACAGCAAATGAACAAAATGGATCGGAATAGTCTTATATAGAGATTACCAATGTTTACACAGAGATTTCAAAGCCCTTTCAATTATCATGAGCAATATCAATTCCATTGTACGATTCCAACGAGATCATGAGCGTGTTTTTATGAAAACCCCATCAAACAGTGATGATACAGAGGTGTTCGCGAAAAGGTGAGAGTATCGTGTCCCACAGGTGTCATCCATCACAAACACACGAACAGGCAACTTATTTGTTCACCTGAAGAAACACGGACACATTTGGTACAAGTCGAAATAGGGAATTGCATTAGACATCATTTTTGTCACAGATGCGTCAAATTGGGAAATGTCATTCACGTGTCGCCAAAAAGGTCTTTTAAGCTTCACTGTATGTTTCTTTGTTGTTTTACGCCACAATCAGGAATATTCCAGCTATATGACAGCGATCTATAAATAATCGAGTCTGGGCCAGACAATTCAGTGATTGATATCCTGAGCATCTATCCATGCTCTTTGGATAAAATGACACGCATCAACCAAGTCTGCGAGCCTGACCACAGGATCCCGTTATTCGCCGATTACGACAAGCATAGTCGCCTTTAAGCTTTACTGAGGACTTGAATGTTGTAACCATGAACAAACAACTTCGAGCAAGTGTCGAATGGCTCTCTTTGAAATTTTCGTAGAACCAGCTTTCCTGACTGCACTTACCAAGACACATGGTGTGGTATGGAATCCCTGTGTCAGGTGTTGTAGCAAACCCCGGGCAGGGAGTACAATCCAACTGTCCGGAGTGTTCTTGGTAGAAGCCAAGGGGACATGCCTCGCACATGCCATCATCGTAGAAAGTACCAAAGGGACACTTCACTGATAAAACCAACACAAAAGTGGGTAAAGTAAAACATTTCAGAGGCTTCACTTCCTCATAATGCAATTACTCATGCATGTTAATGATATAACATAAAATGAATCCTCATCTAAAATATTAATGATAAACGCCCAGCTAAAGCAAATGGCTTACACACTTACACAACCACCTATCGAGAAGAACTGTTTGAACACATTAATGGGATCATAGCATGATAGTTGAATATGATTATTGCTATGTCAGACCTATATCTTTTTTCCCGCTTTTCTTCCGCTTAAAACCGGTCGTGATATTATTCCAAACACAGTTCACTTACAAATTACAGTCCTTGCTCTAGGGCAATAGACAGGTGTCTGGTTTGTGAACCTCCCTGTGTTTAATTCTGCCTGTCTGTGAACACTTACAGCAGAATAATCCCCCAGGAACACGGCCGGCAGCACACGTGACATTTTGTTCGACCATCAGAAAGGGTTCCTTGTCTCCGACTGTGAAGTTCCTGTAACCCCCGGACCTGACTTCCCAGTTTGCTTCATCCAGGGTATCCCAAGCAGCAGTGATTGACTCCAGTCCCCCAGTAACTGTGCAAAACATACTCTTGATTGTCCTTTCGGCCTAGTCATCTGGTATGAGATGAATGTTGCGTCAAGTAGTCCCAACAGAACTTTTATTGTTTTATAATTATTGTATTACGCATCTCAAACCTGTTATATAATGAATACCCACAGAGTAGATAGAAGCAAATACTTAGTTTCACATACACGGTTTATACTTAGACAAGATATGTGCAGGACACTATTAATTCAGCACCCCACCGGGTATGCTGTTTTTCACGAACTGGAAGATGTTTTATCTGAACCTTTATTAATACATGTGTGTGTTAGTTTGTTTTATCTAAATTGTGGTCCGCAAAGTCAATTGTATCTGACAATAGAATGGCATCATATACACCTCTCATCATTACTACAGGCTGTGGGTCGGTTGGACAACCTCGTAGTTAACGCGTTCGTTTCTCGCCCGGTTTAACACGACGCAACTGACAAATATGTCAAAGCATAATTCGGGAAAAATTGTTTTTTCCTAATGTATCCGTATCTAAGACATAAGAACAACAGATTCTCTAAAACAACAAGTTGTCACCAGAAATAACACAGGCATCTATCAAGCGGGATGTTGGAGTGAATCATGTTTGTTTCGAGATGAGTATGAGCGTCAGTTGAGATGGAGGTCCCCCTTACATTTTACACAAAACCTTTTCCGTTCTATAAATGACATACTATTTTAACGTTATCAGGACTGGGTTTTTTATCATCGTCATGCCTAACTACGCAAATTTAAATGTTATAGAAATTATCAGCAATTACTTTCACGAACCTTCTATCCCGCTCTTTTCGTGTCCGTATGGCTGCACCGTCATATGACCTTGATGCATTGCTATTTCAATGTCTCGGTGGGCTGGAGAGTAAACTTCATTACTTTCGTGCTTGAATCCACCGTTGGAAGAAAGCAGACTTTCACTGAAGGGGGCAACTGAAAATATGTACCCGAATATAAGACAACATTCACTCTTGGAGTCACACACAACTGCTGTCTGCCTGTGTTCTTTATATTTACTCTCCACCCGTCCAATGTTCATTTTATTCTTACTGCTTGTATACTGCAGATATTTGATAAATTATCCTGTAATATTTTTAGGGATAGGGGCCCTGTTATTTTTGTTAGCGATAGAACAGTGATTTTGCAACATACATATTTTTCTCCAGAAAGATTATCTTTTTAACCTCACTCGATGTAAATCGAACAAGTTGGTTTCGGATAAGAACAAAAGGCAAGATTATCTTTTCCCATTATTTCAAAAAATATGTTTTAAACTTCTATTGTGACACAAAAATCTCAATCTTGATTAACTTCTTTGATAGGCATTTAGAAGTTGGAATACTAAGTAAGGATAAGAATTTATGGATGAACAACTTCTTTACAATAAAGAGCGACGTTTCGGTGTAGGTTCTAACATTGTTATCAAGCGAGTGATATACAGAGTGTGGTTACTTACTTACTTACTTATATTGGAGATTTTACGTGCGCTTTCCGACTGCAGCGTATTTCGCACACGGGCCCGGCCAAGCCATTTAATGTGTTTCCGAAAAGGGGAAAAAGTTGTTTGGCAATCCAGTAGGGGTGTTTTAGTGGTTGCTTATATCGAATTTTGGAAATTTGGAAATTTTGAAAAAATGCCAAGAGGGTTTGGGGGACGAACTAAGGGACCTGAGTATGGAAGTTTGTTAGTTTGATTAAGTGGTCTGGTTTTGGTAGTTTTTTGGGGTTTTAAATGCGATTTATTAGTCCTGTTTTGATTAAGTATACGCCTAAGGTTTTGAATTTTTTCTATTTTATTTTGTGGGTTTAGGATTGCTTCTAGAGTAAGAGCCTTATTTAGATTTAGGGTGGTTTGTAGTGTAGTTCGGTGTGTTAGGTAGTGGGTGGAGTGTATGAGTGCGTGTTCTGGGGTTTCTTGTTGTTTGCAATGTGGGCAGGTTCCTGTTGCGTGTTTTTTTATTATTTTGAGGTGGTTATTTAGGTTGGTATGTCCTGTTTGGAGTTTAGTTATTACTCTGTCGATTTTTTTGGACGGATGTAGAATTTTTGGTTTGGTTAGGGGTTTTTTGAGAACCTTTTTGATTTGGCTATTTGAGTTTGGATATAGGTTATGCCATTTTTTGGTGATTTTTTGTTTGTTAACACTTTTAATCCCGATTTGGAGATGGGTAGGTTTAAGCTTATTTCTGGGATTTTAAGGGATAGTTTAGCTGCTTTATCGGCTTTTTCATTGCCGTATATTCCTACGTGGGCGGGGATCCAAATGAATACTATTTGTTTGCCTGCCTTAGTTAAATCGTTTGAGCTTTTTAGTATCTGATTTATTAGTTCAGGGCGGTTTTTGGTGTTTTTATTTTGGAGGGCTTGTAGTCCACTGAGCGAGTCGGTAAGTATTAGGATTTTTTGTTGTTTTTTAGATTGTTGATTATGAAGGGCTGAGGCCATGCCCATTAGTTCGGCCGTGAATATTGATTGATTGTTTGGGAGTCGGTAGGGCTTTAGTTGGTTGTGTGATGTGGACTCCGAAACCTGTGTGTTTGGAGATCGGATCTGAGGATCCGTCTGTGTAAATGTGACACCAATTTGGCCAATTTTCATGTATGTATGCTAGTGTGGTGGTTTTGGCTATGTTTGGGTCGGTTTGTTTATTTATTGTGCTAGCTAGTGTTATGTCTATTTTTGGTGTTTTAAGTTTTGGGGTGAAGATATTTGATTTTTTACAGTTTTGTTTAAGATTGTTTATTTGGTGTTCATTTAAGTAATTGGTTATTCTTTGGGATATTGGAGTAAGTAGAGGGTGTTTTCGAGCTAGGGCTTGGTTTTTTGGGCTTATATTTTTGTTTATTAGGCTTTGAATTAGGGGGTTGGATTGAGATGCGGCCGAGAAATTTAGGGTTAATTGTTCCCTGCGTAGACTTAGTGGCATTTCTCTTGTTAAGGCCTGGAGTGAAGTGTAGGAGGTGCCATGTTGAGTGCGTGTTATTAGTTTTAGAGCCTGATATTGGATTGAGTCTAGTTTTATGCTTAGGGATTGGTTTAGGGTGTCGTATATGGCACATCCGTAGTCTATTTTAGATCTAATTAGTGATATATAGAGTGAGAGGAGGGTGTCTTTGGAGGCCCCCCAGTTTGAGCCAGTGAGGCATCTTAGCGTATTTAGATCTTTGCTACATTTAGTTATTAGATTATTTATGTGAGCGTCCCAGGAGAGATGTTCATCGAAAATTAGTCCTAAGAATTTGGTTTGTTTTAGGAATTGGATTGGTTTGTTGTTTAGCTGGAGTTTTGGGGAGGCGGGTTTCATGTTTTTGTGTTTAAATACTATTCCTGTAGTTTTTTCCGAGTTAAGGGAGAAGCCCCATTTGTCAGCCCATTGCTGTATTTTGTCTAGAGATTTTTTAAGTAGGTGTTGGACCATTTTAATGCTTTTTGTGCGGATCCAGAGGGCTCCATCATCCGCGAATTTAGATGTGTTTATTTTAGGGGATAGGCCCTCGAATAGATCATCAGAGTGTGGTTGACTGACTGACTGATATAGAAGATTTAACGTGCGCTTTCCGACTGCAGCGTATTTCGCACACGGGCCTGGCCAGACCATTTAGTGTATTCCGAGAAGGGTGAAAGTGGTGTGTGCAACACAAGAGGGGGCTTTTAGGGGTTGCTTATATCGAATTTTTGAAATTTTTAACATTGGAATAATTGCCGAGGTGGGTGGAGGAGGAAACTAAGGGAGCCGGGTGAGGTGGGTGTTTGTATGTTTATTGGATTTTGGATTGGTAGATTAATTAGTTTTTAGATGCGCTTAATTAGGCCTGTTTTGATTAGGAATACGCCTAGGGCCTTGAAGTTTTCTAGTTTATTTTGAGGGTTTAGTATTTCATCTAGAGTAGGAACCTTATTTAGATTGAGGGTGGTTTGTAGTGTGGTTCTGTGTGTTTGGTAGTGGGTGCAGTGGATGAGTGCGTGTTCTGTGGTTTCGGGTTGTTTGCAGTGGGGGCAGTTGCCTGTGTTGTGTCTTTTAAGTTGTTTTAGGTGGTTATTTAGGTTCGTGTGTCCTGTTTGGAGTTTTGTAATTAATCTGTCAATTTTTTTAGAGGGGTGTAGGATTTTAGGTTTGGCTAGTGGTTTTCTGAGCACTTTTTGGATTTGGCTATTTGAGTTTTGATATTGATTATGCCATTTTTTGGTTATTTTTTGTTTGTTTACACTTTTAATTTCTGATTTTGAGATGGGTAGGTTTAGGCTTATTTCTGGTATTTTGAGAGATAATTTAGCTGCTTTATCGGCGCTTTCGTTGCCGTAAATTCCTACGTGGGCGGGGATCCACAAGAAGGTTATTTGTTTGCCTGCTTTTGTTAGGTCGTTGGAGCTTTTAAGTATTTGGTTTATTAATTTAGGTCGTTTTTTGGTATTTTTGTTTTGGAGGGCTTGTAGTCCACTAAGCGAGTCAGTGAGAATTAGGATTTTTTTGATTTTTTTTTGATTGTTGGTTATGCAGGGTTGAGGCCATGCCCATAAGTTCGGCCGTGAATATAGATTGGTTGTTAGGGAGTCGGTAAGATTGTGTGGATATAACTGGTTGTGTGGTATGGACTCCGAAACCTGTGTGGTTGGAGATCGGGTCTGAAGATCCGTCAGTGTATATGTGACACCAATTTGGCCAATTTTCGTGTATGTATGAAAGTGTGGTGGTTTTAGCTATGTTTGGGTCGGTTTGTTTATTTATTTGGTTAGTTATGCTCCTCGATATACCAGCTGGGTACTACCCAGCGCGGCGGTATAAACAATGCAGTGTTAGGACCGGCAGTACTTGGATAAAGGATACTGTTTTATTTTATCATTAAAATGTAATCTTTTCATTTGACAGTTCGATATGGTTTATTAGATTTAGGGATTGGTATGACTAGGGCCTGTTTCCAGGGAGTAGGAACCTGTCCGTTTAGGGAGATGAGATTGTATAGTTTGAGTAGAGCCTGGAGTAGTGTTAGGGGGAGTTTTTTAATTATTTGGTAAGAAGTTAGGTCTAATCCTGGGGCTGTGCCCTTTTTCCTGTTTTGGATTACGTAGAGGAGCTTCTCCATTGTGTAGGGTTGATTTATTTCTAGATTGTTATTGTTTGGTTCTTTTGGGGGTTTGTTTTCTGTTTTAAGTTTATCTTGGAATTTTTTACTGAAGTTGGTGTTACTGCTAACGGCCGAAAAGTGGTTGGCGAGATTATTTGCTTTTTGGGCGGGGTTGGTTGAGTTGTCAATGTTAGGGGGTTTTTTTATGTCGTTTTAAGCCTCTGATGGCGTGGATTTTGCGCCAGACCGTTCTGGCATCTGTACGGTTATTTATACCTTCGCAGAATTTTTTCCAGTCTCTATTTTTGGCTATTTGGACTAGTTTTTGAACCTGGTGGTTTAGTTCGTGGGCTATGTTTAAATATTTGTAGTCGCGTTTTGCTTTATTGAAGGCTGATTTACGTTTTCGTCTAGTCTGTTCTATTTCCTCATTCCACCATGGTACCGTCGGTTTGCCTGTCTTAGATGTTTTGAAGGGGATGGAGGTTTTGTCTGCGTTTATTATATAGTCTGTTAGGTTTTTACAATAGGTTTCTGGATCATTATTTTCTATTTCGTTTAAGTTAGCTTCGTTGCAGATATCTTGGAATTGGTCCCAGTTAGCTTTATTGTAATGGAATTTTGGTTCTTGGTTTTCTGTTTGGATTGGTACGTTTGTATTTCCTATGGTTATGTTTATGGGGAAGTGGTCACTACCTAGCGGGACGTCGTGCACTTCCCATTGAGTACTTTGGGCTAGATCTGCGGTGCATATGGTTAGGTCGATAGCCGACATTTTTTGGGTTATCTTATCGTACCTCGTGGGTTGGTTGCTATTAAGGAGTACTAGGTCGTTTGTTTCTATCCATTCGGAGATTAATTTGCCATGATTATCTATTTTATCATCTATGCTCCATGTAGGATGGTGAGCGTTAAAGTCTCCTAGGAATATAGTAGATTTATCGCTTATTTGGAGTAGTTTGTTTAGATCCTCAGGTTGGACTTTTCGTTCCGCCCAGTGGTAAATATTTATGATGTTTATGTTTCGGTTATTTAATGTGATTTTAATGCCGTT